GAGTGTGGCGGCCCTAGTGTGCTCAGCACACAAAGTAGACGGACAGTGGTGATTTCTGGTTCAAGCGAGAATGGCTTACGACCCTGCAGAGTGGCCTATCATGCAGTGAATCTAGCATGCGCACTGGGGGAAGACAACACATGTACACATAACTACATGTCTGCAATCAGTGGTCTGCGTTACCCCCGCCTACTTACTAGAGTGTCTCATGTCTGCGCGTGTTTATGAGTTGCGCTAGATTGACATAGGTTACTGTCCTTTACATAGTGCAGGCAACACCGTCCCCAGCAAAGTTAATCGATTGCGAAGGAAACGCACAACGCGTTTCAACAGCATCCGGTTTGTGCGAAAGCAGCTTCACAGCTTAGTTTGCAAGCTAGACGAAATCCTTGCTCCTGAAAGCAAAGAAAGGCTGATGGTGCCTCCAGTGTGGAGCCAGCCCACTTGGGGCGACTTGGGCCCCAAATGTCGATGCCCGGGCTGTTCCTCAGCTACAATTGCTGTGCTTTGTGGGTGCCAAGCTCATCAATTTGAGACCTCGAACCACTGCAAACTGCTTTGTAGGTTGGTAGGCAAGGGTCGTCGTTCCCACCGACGGCACACAAATCGAAGCCAGGGGTCCTATGGTCTTATGTCTGGTGCTGCACCTGTTTGGGGCATCCAAACGGCCGCTGATTTCACTGACAGTGCTAACCTCCAGGCACCTGGAGGCACCTCACGCATCAACCCCCCTAAACACACCACTTGAAAAAGCCATCCCCCCAGCCCCCCCTTTTTCAGCCAGGCAGCTTGATGTTCTCGACCTGACGGCGTGTGATGCATCAAGTGGACAAACACAGCAGCCAGCAACTGCAACTGACATGCGTGGGAAGAAACGTGATTCACAACGGTGGTGGTCTTCCAACCATGTCACATTCTTCCAACCATGCTTCGCGTTAACATCTCACAGGGATCATCATGTGTTTTGTTGAAGATTGTCTCTGTCACCGGGGGGCTTCGCAAAACGCTTCCACTTGGCTTGCCGGGGAAGCCTTTCAGTTCACGTGATTTGATTGGCGTGGGTTCAAGTTGAGTTCAGGGTGGGGTTCGGCTCGGTGTCGGTTAAGGGGCTGGTTTAGGGTGGGTTTGGGGGTGCTGTGGGTGTTCCATAGCCGGATACCGTGGGGTCAGGGTTGGCTCCGCGTTGCTGGATGGGAATGGATGAGGGGGGGGTGGAAAGCAATCGCAATCCGGCAGAAAACGCGCCCTGAAAACAATATATATATATATATACACACATATATATAGTTCCCAGTGAACTGATCGCAACGAGGTTTGCTATGTGCGATATTGTGCGATATGTGCGCCATAGCAAAGATTCACAAGTCATGTGCAAGGAAATGAGATGGCTGCTGCTATTGCCATCACTCCTTGTATTTGTCTGGCAACCATCCCCGCCTCTGGCAGCAGAAGCTGGCGGCGCAGGTATGCCTGCGAGCTACCGGCTTCCCCGATACCCAAATGTGAGTAAAACGAACAGGCTGCCACGGACTTAGGCAAAACTCTTCATCCAGCAACTCAACCTTCACAGTAGCATCATAAGCAAGCGGGAAAAGCAATTGGTGCATCCTTGAACTTGCGGCCCTTAACGGGGGCGCGCGCAAACGGGCTGTTTTCCGGGCAATTTCGGACGGTTTTGAATTTTTGGTTGAAGGACACCTCTCAGCACATCTGGTTTCTCAGACTCTTTTGGGCAGATTTGCTGCTTGAAATCCAAACTCAATACGGCGTCCCTCGTTCAGGGCTCTCTGATTGAATAGCTGCCATCTTTCCGGATAGCTGCCACGTTCCTTGAGCGGTCATTCCAACTGACGCAGCTGGGACCATTTCCAATCAATCGAATCGATTCCAAATTGGGGGGATTCCACCCTTGGGGAAAGCCCCTCGCAACTTGCAAGAATGATGCGCTTGAAGCACATTCGGGGTTGCCTTGGGGATCTTCCACGTTGTTCAACAGGCCTGCTGGATCCCACCCCTGGGCATTCTAACACACGCCATGAAGCAGTCCAAAACTTGCAGCTCGTTTAAGTGAGGTTGTGTACGGTTTAGCTCGTTTGGCGTGTTCTACGTTATTTGGCTGCAGATTTCTACACCTTAGGTGCCTTCGACACATCCGGCAACCGTTTTTTGTGCCTTGGAGTTCAAGGCCTGGTTCCGCATCTCTGCCTTGGCTTTTCATCTGGGCCCTTGGAATGTGGGCAGATGTCAAAAGCAGGCAGTCCTGACAGAACATAACAATGCTCAATCGCTGTGAACGGAAAGGGCGTAGTCAAAAGGGACCTGACGGGTCTTGTCAACTTGCCTGGGCGATGTCCCTTTTGTGGAGCCCGCTGTCGCGTTCCGTCTGCTGTGTCTTTTTCCTTGGGGGCAAAGTAAAGGCAGTCTATCCTTTGCTGGTTGACACGGTTGAGCGGGTCAACGTTTCAGATGCCCAATGGGAGCTACGGCAGTTTGTTGCTACAAGATTCAATAGTCAGTGTATTCCCACCTCGTCCTCATCCCTGCACCCGTTTGAACTCATTGACTTCGTTGTTTTTCACGCTGCATCATGCATGCACTTGTGAGCCTTACCTCGTATCAAAGCTTTGGGGGTGCTTCCTACCCCGCACCAGATTCATAATGTTACCAAAACACGCTTTCGCCCGGCGTTTACCATAGTCTTCGGCAAATACGGCAGTCGCTCATGTGTTAACAGGCCTACCTACTAGCTCGCCGCAATCGCAACAACAAAATCTCAAACAGGATGCACAGGAGCACCCCCAAACGAACCAATCGAGTCGAGGGTTTGTCAATCTATCGCACTTGCTTGACGCAAGCCTTGCACGCGTGGCTTGAAACTTGCTTTCTCATTTGTGCAGCTGCGGGGCAGGTCGGTACTTCTCCTGAGCAGGCCGGCTCTGTTCCTCCCAAAACTGCTCCCAAACCGAAAGCACGCTTACAGGTCTTTTCCACTTCTCCTTGCATCATTGGGGAAGGTCCCCAGCGCGGACATGCAACTTCCGCCAAAGCTCCATCTCGCCCAGGAGGCGCATACCCTGGCCACTGAAGAGCGCGGGCGCCCGCTGGTAGGTCTTAGATAGCGCCTAAGCTTCACGCAGGGCTGCATAGTGTGGGAGATTTTGCCGAGTGCCTTGAACACATCAAGCGACCTGAAGGAAACGAAGGCAAACAAAAGGACTCCAAAACACTTGGCTGGCCTCAGCAACTTGCCGTCCTCCCCGTTCCTTCCCAAAACTCAACAAAAGGGATCAAAACGTGGTCTTTCTATAACTCTGAACCATCAGCAATAAGCGAGGAAACTGCAAGCCGGGCGTGACCCAGCGGAGCCAACCAGTTTGTTGCGCTGTCTACGCAGGCGCCCCACCTTGTGTGAGGCGTAGCATGACCTGAGAGGAGAGTTGCGGCTTCTGCACAAAGAACAACTGCATGAATTACTGCGTCAAGGGCCAACGGCGCCTCTATAAATTGAAGAGCAAACCTCAGAACATCCATCCACCACTAGCCTTCCAAATAAGGCGACCGTTAGAGCTTCCGGGACGACCCAGGCAGAAACAAGATTCTGCATTTTGGCATGCAACAGGCATATCATACTGGGCCAAGCACGGAATCAAATAAGTAGGAGCATCTTCTCGTAAGGACGGCGTTGATCGCGAAGACAACAAACCTGGCAGACACTCGATCAGCTTCCGCATCCTACCGGTACTCCTTCTGCATCGGTTATATTGCCCGGAGTGCTCAATATTCCCCCCCTTTCCCAAGAGGAAAAGCACCAGCCATCACCAGACATTGTGAGACCCCTTGTGTAAGGGGGTGGTCATGTCATGTTTTCCGAACAAGCTCAGGGTGATTCCAGGCCTTATCCACAAGTTCATGACCCTCCCGAATTATCCAAAGCAACTAACGCCACATTCCATGCTCAGCTGATGATGCATTATTTTCAAGGTTGGGTGCTTGAAGAGTAGTTACCATGGCTCCAAGTCAGCTGAGTGGGTTGTAACCAGGCTAGCCACTTGCTAAGTACAAAGCCCCTTTAAGTGACACCCAAGGCAAATTTGATGACCCTATCATCCGGCTCGCACCTGGCGTGGCCATAGCTACCTGTCCCTGGCTCGAGCCGCAAGCTAGCAGGGAGCGGCTGCCTGAAGAGGGGGGCATGTGTCCAATGGCATGGCATCTGAAGCCATAGTTGGTGCCAAACACCATTGTAGGGGACAGGAGTTGCATCACCTGCTATTGGCCCAGATGGCCTTGAACCTGTTGTTTGTGGTCTGGAATGGCCTGGTTAAGTGATCATAACCACCAACATTCATACTAAAACCTGAGAGCAGCTGAAGCAAGTCAAACGCCGGCCTGCAAACCAAAACTAGCAAGACTACAGCCAGTTCAGCAAGGCTTTTGTGCCTCCCCCGTTGTTTGACTGCGGGATCCCCCTGACTTGACCATCCACACATGTTCCTTTTCCACAATCAGGGCTTTTGGTCAAAGGCACACCCTTCGTTTGCGGGGTTCTCATTTTTTGGGAGTACGCGATCTCTGCTGCTGCCAGCTGGCAATCTTAGGATGCGGCTCTTTCAAGCGTTCCTTCACGTCCGACACGGCTGCCTGAAGTGAAGGCAGCGCCCCTAGATCCTGGGTGAACTGGGCAGTTCTATTTGTGGGGCTGCTTCCTTTTGTTCCCTGGGATTGCTGTGCAATCCGCGGCAAGGCCTCCGGCTTTGCAAGCTATGCTTTCAGATGGCGTTGGTTTGAACGCTACCAAAGCCTAGCAAACATTTAAGCCCCTGATCTCCGAAAAGATCATGGGCCCGAATGGACTGTTCAAACAACACCTGCACTCGTCAGCGAGATCAACCGCGGGTTGACTCCTACACCAGAGCCTCACTGGGGATCTTTTCCCTGAACTTCGCGCGTGCAACTGCAGTATTTCAGGCATCCTTGATTGTGCAAGGGCAACTGATGGTTCACACCTTCCAATTGCCTCTCACCGGGTTGGACATGGCCGGAAATTCCTTGGGCAAATCGCATCGACTCTCTCCCCAGGCCTCTGTGAGGCTGGTGACCTGAGTGGTTCGAACAGGCCTCAAGCTGAGATGAACAACACGCACGTGCCGAACAGCTTTGACTGGATGCTTCTGCAAGCCCATGCAAAATCTAAGGCTGCCACGTCAGTTCGAGTCACCAGCTGGTGGTCAGACATCAGTGACTGAAGCCGCCTGCCACAGTGTGGCATCAGGCCAAAGCTAAGACACACCAAAAGGAAAAGGACATGGTGCCCCTCAGGAAACAGTCTTACGAGGCTTTCTTGGTAGCCGGGTCAACAAAGATCCAAGCTCAAGCCTGATCTGCTTCGCCCCTAGAAAACCTGGCAAAACGCACATGACCATCTATAAAGCATGGTCAAGTTGGGAAGCAGGAGTAAACTTGGCCGCCCTCAGATCCCCCGCTAAAAGTTTAACTTTTAGTGGAGTAAATGCAAACTGCCACGAAACACTAAAAAGCTAAAAAGTTAAGGGGATGGCTGGGAGTCGCCAAGTAAACACATCACGTCCCTCTGCCTCTGAACCTGGCGCTGGACCGTGGCATCCACATCGGCCAGCGATGCCTCGAAGGTCCGAAGATTGGCTTATTGGTCAGGTGCTGGTACTTCATGGTGTGGCCGTGATATTATCATTCAACCCCAGTGCAAGCTCAAACTACCCATAAGTTCTTGTTCTAGCCCAAACTGTCCATGGAAGGCCTGACCCAAGCCTCTAGAAACCTGTTTGCATGCTTTAAAATATGAAGCATTGAGACGTGACCGTACGAAGCTCCAATATGTACCTACTTGCAGTGCACCAAAGAATGGTGAGTGAATTGTCCTCGTGTAGTATTTGCTTGTTCCAATTGCCCGCAGGGCCGCCCTGCCCATCCATCCCGCCTTGGCCTCTGCCACTGCAGCTAGAGCAGCAAAGTCCGTGACGGACACCTGCGCCCGCGTCAGGTCGCTAGGGAAGTGGGGCGGGGGTGCTGAGCCATAGCCCAGGGTCGTATTGATTAAAAATGAGGTTTAAATGATCTTGGATGAAAGATTTGCTAAACAATTAATGAGCACTTTACGCAGTCCATAGGCACCCCCTAAGACATCATCCCCCGGACGAGATGGGACTAGCGCTCCTATTTCTTGAACAACGGCCGCATGTTGGATTGTATTCACCTCCGGGCCTGCTCCGGAAATTGGCCCTGACCAAACAAACAAGATCACGAAAAGGGGCTTTACAGCCATGAGGGTACCCTTTTGGCTCGAGGCGCCAAGGTCGAGGCAGTCATGAGGGCACCCTACGCATTGCCGAAACACGGCTACCACGGCCACTACGGCGGCCTTGGAATCGCACAACTTCTGGAGCCGCGCCAGGTGGCCTTCCTCCCTGCCCCATGCCTCAGGCGGCTGGAGCGTGCATCAGCAAGCGCAGCGCTGGCGTTCTGTGACATGGGCCTCTTCCATTTCAAGGCCATAGCATGGCATAGCAAGCTTGAACAAAAAGAGTCGCTGCAACAACAAACAAACATGTTTCTCTCTGGTTCTGACCTGTTTGGTTTCTCGTGGCGTCCTATTTGCCAACCCCTGCTGCTCACGGATTAACTGTCATGCCCTCTAGAGTCTGAGGTAGCTCTTACTTGTCTTGGCATTTGTTCCTCCGTCGGTGTGTCCGTCGATCTGTCCCGTCTAATCTGGTAGGATTGAAACTCTTGTCGGCTGTCAAATATGCTAAAAACTGGGAGTAAGTGTTTAAGGTCTCCATTGTCAGTGCCATGCGCAAAGTGTCGGTTGCAATTTGCTTCTTTCTTCTCTTGTTTGTCTTTCAGTCTGTTCGTCAACATCTTTCTTATTCTGCAGTGTGTCTGTGCGGATGTCTCAGTACTTTCGACGAGAGGTTTGGTGAACATCACACACTTCTTTGTTGTTGTTGGTGCTTTCTCGATCATCTTGTTCACGGTCAGTCCAGCCGAGGAATTGAGTGTTTGGCGGGAGGTTTGACGATGTTCAGGGAACTCAATTTTCCACAACAACTTGTCTAAAATGTGATCCTCTAGGCCAAGACATCCCTTGCAAAGTGGGAAGCACTTCATGTCTGGCCGTCCCAAGTTCACTGCGCACGCCCATCCCGACCGTGGCTTAAAGGCAGGGCTGGCCTCCCGCACGATCTCCTCGCAAAGAGGCGACCCCCTTTTCAATTGCAGCGCCCTTTCTCTCGCTTTTTTCGCTTTGTGCCTTCCTGCCTGCCTCGCTCTCTCTCACTCTCCCACACACAGACTCTCTCTCTCTCTCTGTTTTCCTGCTCCCTTGTTCTTTTCCGGTTCCTTTTCGGTTTCCCTTTTTCAGTCGCTCAAAGGACATAGAAATCCAAGGTCATTCGTTTTGGGGCCGTGACTGAAAATGGGCCAAAAGGCGGAAACTCGAGCGTCAAAAGCTTGGCTTTGGGCAAGTAAGCTTTCCTTTGCCGAGCTCTCTCTCTCTCCCTCTCTCTCTCTCTCTCTCTCTCTCTCTGTCTCTCTCTCTCTCTCTCTCTCTCTCTCTCTCTGTCTCTCTCTCTCTCTCTCTCTCTCTCTCTCTCTGTCTCTCTCTCTCTCTCTCTTTCGCTCTCCCTTCTCCCTCCTTTCAGACTCCCACTTCATGGCCAAAAATGGAGAAACGGCTCAGGAGTTTGAAGCCAGCCAGATTCTCGAGCCCGGTCGTGAAAGTAGGCCCTGCGCTTGGAGCAGTGCCCGGGCCTAGCTCACCACATTTACCACAATAGACATGCTCAATTGTTTGCTTCATCAGTACTACACTCCAAAGGATCTGGAGACTGAGTTGCACACCAGCACATTGGGAGGCAAATTTGAGTTGGTTGATGACTGGATCCACCCTTCTGCTAACAGGAGCGGCCAAAAAAGTAATCTCAGCATGGCAAACGGCAGGTTGAAAAAACAAGTTGCGAGACCTACCCTAAAATTTGCCACCATTCCTCCATGGCTTGATCATGCAGCATCATCACTGCAACCGCTCTTTCCGCAAAGCCAAAGAACTTCCGATTCAATTCCCCCAAGTTGTGAATAGCTGCTGCATGACAAAACTGCATTGTGAGCACCTGACTTGGAGGGTGAGTCTTTGAGGCACATGGTCGACCAGATCTGTCCTTGAGCTGGGTGGGATTTGCTTTCTCCTGGCCAGGGCATAACAAGGCCAAAAAAGAGATCTGCGATTGAAGGTGACTCAGATCCAAATGAAGCTGATACCACTTAGCGTTCGTGCATTGCCAAAGCCTTCAGCTTTCTAGGGGTGCCTTCCCCATTCTTTCCAGTGATCCTGCTTCTCAGGAAGCCAAAACCCAGGGAAACCGCTGGTTTTTGAAAAGAACGATGGTCTAGAGTCCAATGGAAAAGGACTCAACCCCTGGGTTGCGAACTCGGACGCAACTTGCCCTGCGCCTCGAGGGACTCCTGGAAGTCCTCCAGGCGCCCCGCCTGGAGGACTTTGGCACTCGGAATCAAACGAGGCGTGCGACGGGCTCAAGAACGCATGGGTGACCGAACGCATTTGGAATCTAACTCCAGCGAAAGCATGCAGCTACGCAATAGGCCCAAGTTCTGCCTGACGGCCCCAAACTGGAAGCTTCTTGAAATGCATCAGACAACTCTGAAGGGAGGGCCTTGCTGACCTGGTCCTTGATACAAAGCGCTGCGCTATATAAATTGTACTGTTTCCGCTAGGCCGTAAATGTCGAACTGAGGACGGGGCCAGCTGCTGGACCTGAAATGACTCTCCAATGGACCCAGCTGCTCCAACTCCAATCGCTATCTACGACTCTACGACAACGACCATCGCACGTGGGTCTCAAAAACACAACAACGACAAAAGGGCTCGCTCTCGGCCTGGGTTCTAAAGTTCGTTTAACTTAGTTAGTTTTCATCCCACGAGGTTCCAGTTGCATTCGGCACAAATTGAGGCGGCTAGGACCTGCGCTTCGTGTTTTGAGGTCGTCCGCCACTAGAGTGAGACGGGGCCCGCTCTTCGAGCCCGTCTACACCTCGAAGGTCAGAACAATGTCATCATTGCCTCAGGGCCAGTGTCAAATCTGGACGGACCAGGGGCACCTTCCGGGCACAGCCACCCAACGACCACCAAACAAACCATACAAACCATACAAACCAACAAAGCCCACGCCAGGTCGCTTGCCCATTTGATCCCATTTGGCAGCTGTGTCGTGGCGGTAGGTGTGATCTGGTCGAACCATTCTATACAAGCTTTCGTACAAATAAAACTGTGAAATGATTATGTGCATGCTGCCAGGTCAAATACCCAGGGATCTGAATTCATCTTGGTCACATGTTTTGCTCCAGCTGCCAAGCATCAGCTTCTTAGTTGAAACTTGCCGACCAAACCGCCCAGGGCCCCCAGATATCCCAAGCACGTGCCTTCTCCGCAAAGTACCCCAACCACATTCAAGTGTCTTGGCCGGTGCGCTTGGCCCGGGAAGTGCCACGCAAACCCGAGCGACTTCCAAAAAACACGTCCAGTCCAAGTCGCCCGGCTGGGGCACCACTGCCAACGCCAGGCGCCGCAGCCGCTTGGAGCAGGGCAGGGACGGGGCAGCAGCCAAGGCCACCAAAATAGCATCTGCCATAAACGTGCCTCAGCACGACAGCACTCAAGTCGAGAGTCTGCGCGCAGTGAACATTACTTCATGTACTCAAAGTGTTCATGTGTCCCTGGCCTGTGTAGTTTCATTCAAGCACTTTCAACGCCTGCCGGCACCAATCCCGCCGCGCCAACACAGAGCAATCGGAGCTGAAGAGATAAGTTCAACAGAGCGAGGTCGACAAGCTGAACTTACATGAGTGCCGCTGCGAACCCCATTGTTTGCCTTCACATGAATGTTCATGACGAAGGCAACGCAACTGCCAGTGGAACATTCTACAAGCAAACTGACTCTGACCTTCAGGCACATGTCATGCTCGTACCAGCGTGCTCAGGACCCTGACGTTCCGCTAACCACTCCTTTTCACATTTTTGTCTGCTGTTGTGCTCTGCCTGGGTACCCTTAGAACTGATGAGCAACCAAGACACAATTACATATAAAAACCACGTTCAGACAACTGACGGAAGCTCGGAAGCTCGCTCATCTGATTTGTGCCCTTAAAACAAGTGGATGATTCACCCAAGAACGCTTCCCTGCTCCTCGCCAGGGTGCCGTACTTGTTCACCGCCGCCAGCTCCGGCCGCTCGCTGCCAAAGTCGTCCGAGCTGTCGATGCACAGCTCTGGCAGAAGGTTCTCGTGCTTTACCTGTCGCGATTTCCCAGGGCTTGATATCTGCTGTCTAGCAAAAACAGGTTGCCCCTTGACATGTTGCGGCTGATGTTCTCGCCAACAGCCACAGCACGGTGGAAGCCGGAAGGCAACCTGCCCTTTTTCATAGAGTGCCAACAACCAAAAGTGAAAGGTGTCAAGCACTCACATATACATCAAGCCTCTTAACATTGGGTTCATCGGATACTAAGGAGCGCTTTCGGGATCCAATGCTAAGCAATTCTACCCTCTGACGCGGGCCTCCAACCATCCCAAACTACTACGGCGCGTTCAGCAAAACCACCCTTGCGCGTGGAAAAGCAATCGACTTCAATTCCAGCCCAACTAAAGATTTTTCCAATTTCCGGCTGCGCACCCAATCCGGCCAGCTGCAACCACCTGCTCCCGCAGGCCACCTTCTCTTCTGGGGGGAGGGTTTTCTTCATCACTGACCGAACATAATCTTCACCCCCCTCTGCGTGTTAAAGGGGCCTTTCATAAAGCAGCCAAACAGTAACACAACAGAGGGAAGAACGGTCGGGGTAACATAATGTGCATGCAAAACCCGTCACAGGCGCGCGTAGCGCCACCGCTTCCGCTGCTGCCACCCCATGAGCTCCACTCCTGATCGGTGGCGGGAGTTGCGTATCCCATTGAGTAGCGCTCGGCGTTTCTCGAGAGGCGCTTCTGGCTCTCACTCTTCGAGAAGTTGACCGAATTGATCGCAGCCTTTTCATTCTGGCGGAAGATCCAGTTCATTTCGTACTGGAGCCTTGCGGGGCTTGCAGGTGTCAATGTCATACCGCAGGAGATGGCAGCTTCTTACCTGACGGAGCAGGATGTCCTTCAGCACCTTCTCCTCTGGTGGCTTCTTCATGCCAGCAATGACAGTGTCCCAGGCGTTTAGAAAACGCTTGAGATCAATGATGCCTTCGCCGTGTCGCGAGACACGCAACAGATCCTCCAAGGAATAGAGGTTGCCGGCTTCTTCACTGGTATTGAAATACTGATCAAACATGAACAAAACCTGCCTGCCCCTCATAGCCTTCCCTTCCTTGGCACATTCCTCCTTTGCTGTCAGAATGCGTTGGGCGAGGTCACCATTCGCTGCATGAGCGCGCGAGCGCTGCGAGTATCTCCGTGTCCAGAGTCACGAATTTACACAGGCTCACCAAGCTCTTCCAACAATTTCTTCTTGTCCTCGCGATGCGACCGTACTTCCATGATCCAAAGTCATGCCTCGTCTGGTCGGTCGGATGCAGCACGGACGTCTTCACGGACTGATGTCTTCCACTCACGGTACGTTTCAGGAGTTGGCATCTCCTTGAACCGCAACGTCTCGCTCTCGCGAGTTCTGGGTTTCTCATCATCCTTGTGACCTTTCGCAAACTTCATCAGCATTTTGGCGAAGGCTTCCTGTCCGAGGTTGGCACCGAGGCCATCCCCATCGCAGGGGCGGCCCTGGGGCACTTGTCTTAGGCGGGGACCTGACACGACCGGATGGAATCTCCGCAGATCCCCGCGGACCGCGTGCATTGGACTTCAATGCTTCACGCACGGCAGGAGGCATGATACTGGGAGTGTACTCATTTTCGTAACCATCAGTGGTGACAAATGCTCTCTTTTGCGACCGAGCTGACTTCATTTCTTCGGGCAGCAACTCTGGCGAATCCTCTCGGGCATCGCTGACGCCTTTGTGCTTCGTACCTTCCTCGCGGAAGTCGTGATACTTCATCTGCTGATTGAGGTCATCATTCTCCCCGTGCAGCAACCTATCTTGGACGGCCATCATGTCAACTGTCCTAGCATGCGTGGCTTCAACACGCGCGACAGCGTCCGCATGCTTTGCAGCCTGCTCCTGAAGGAGCTGCGGCGCATCTGCTAGAGTCACTTTGATGGCCTGTTTGAACTCGCTGGTCTTGCGTCTCATTTCCGCTTCATGCAATGCCTGGGTCGTTTCCTCACACGTTCGGCTTGTTTTAGCTTCGGCGTAGACAAACTCAACGTTGAACTCTTCGCTCATTCTCTGTTCGTATTCACGAATTCTATGCGACTGGGCTTGCGCACACTCAGCGTACTGTGCATGCAGCTGATTCTGTGCGGCATAGAGCTCCTCACGGTTTTCCGCTTGCAAATGCATGACAGCTGCTTGATGCGGTGCTTCGGCTTCTGACCTAATAACTAGCTGCATCGTTCCCAAAAGCAAATATTGCGGCATGGTGCACTTGAAGGGAATTCATTAGAGTACGGCTCTGCTGTGCATTCATGTTAAACGCTTGGATGCGCACACTGTCGCCGGTGTCAACCGGCATCTCAGTTCCATCAACAGGCACGAGGGAACCATCCATGTCTTTAGGCTAGGGGCCTACGGCTGATAACCTAATTATAGATTCTAGGGTTACCGGTTTGGGGCCCAAAAGGAAACAACAAACCGTCCAAGTGCGCTGCTCGCACATGTTCACGCTTGAACAGCCACACTGCGGATGCAGACGATGTTCACCCCAAAACTGAACGAACATAATCTTCAGCTTCGTGACAGTTTGAGTTGAGTTCAATCCGCCCCCCCCCCCCGACATCAAAGTCACAGTCAGTTAATCGTCATGTCCCAATTTGCGTCCACGCATGCTTGCAACCGCTGAAAAGTCTTGTGAGGGACATGTATCCAAGACGGCTCTAAAAGACGAAGGCTCTTCATTGTGCGTGTGGTTCGAAAATGGAGACCAAACAAAGTCCAAACAACGCTTTGTTTCACGAACACTTGCGTTTGACATCATCGGCCCTTTGAGGTCAAAGAAAGGTTGCTTCAAAGACCCCCGCTGACAAGTCGTTTTAGCACAAAACTCTAATTATTGCACAGAACAAGCTGCCAATAGTCACACATGGGGGACTACGCGCGTGTGACCAAAAGCTCTGCGAAACGAAGGGCGCCTGGACACGCAGGAAGTTTACTTGCACTTTTCACTGCACGAAAATTACTTTCACTAACGAGAACAATTAGACAAACTAGGGCCATTGTTCTGGATAACTACTGTTTGTCTAATTTGTGACGATGATGAGAAAAGATGTTTTGCTAATTACGCTGACTGGTGCTATTAGAATAACTAGAGAGAACATACGCCCGGAAGTCCGGTAAAAGGGGCCTTTGGTGAGAAATTAGCATAAGAAGCACAACTGTGCCGCTGCTTTCCTAGGAGCATCTCAGGAGGCGCCAGTATAGACTCATTAGAACAATTAGAACGCACATGAATCTGGAGTCTCCCAAGCGGCAATTGAACTATTTAAAGCAACAATCACTGGAACTCACAAAAAGGCACCCGTTGCTGTAGGAAGAAGTGGAATCATGAGAGAAACTATACATAAAAAAAAATACACATATATGAATCTGGAAATGCTAAAGCACTTGTTTTTTGGGGATGTTTTAGAATTAGCGTAGTTGTAATAGGTAGAATATTTGCAAACAAACAAAAAGGACACCCCGCCTTCTGCGAATAACAAAATAATTAGAATAATGGCATAACAGGTGTATGTTTCTAAGCGTTCTACTCACCTTTTGTAATTAGTTGGAACAATTTGAATAAGTAGAACAAAAATGAAACAAGGGCTAGAAACAGCAGTCGCGAATTCCGGCAAAGGCACTCGTTCTATTAGGATAAACTAGAATAATTGCATAAGGAAGACAGCCGTAAACTGGCTGGACCTTGGCAAAAAGACACCCCATCCCCTTGCGAAAATAAACTGTTCATCACACTCAGAACAATTCGCCCCTTTAAGGACAGGTTGAGTATTGGGCTGGATAGAATCATGAGAGTCTTTAAAGCCAAGACGAGCTTTGAAGCCCCCCAAAGAGCGCCCAACCGTTTAACAAGAAATAGAAAGGTTAGATGACGATCAGTAACACTAAAAGGATTCAATTCCGCACAAGGTGCACATGGAATTCCCAGATCGCACCCCTCTCCCTGCAGGCACATAAACCAAACAGAATAGTCCAACATAGAACGATGCTTTAAATAGTTACGCTCATGCGAATAACTACAACACACATCAAGGCTAACCTCCCCGAAACGCCCTGCCCCTTTTGGAATACTCAAAATAGTTGGAGCAGAACTACACTTGGAATTCCCCAAGTCGCACCCGTCCCTTTGAGGACAAATAGGGCAACTAGAAGAATGGTCTACAAAGTTTATGCGACCATGATTCAGCGCAGCGCGTGCTGCGCAGGGGCGCCGCGTAGCGGCTTGGGTTGTCACAACTGAGAAAATTAGATAAACTGGAGTTCCCAAATCCCACCTGTCCTTTGCGGACAAAGAGAAAGAACTGCGCAATTGCAATAATTCACCCATATCCGCACGAAATCTGAAATTTCCCAGACGCCACGCGTCCCTCCTCCATGGGGAAAAAGCCAGCAAACCAGAGCAATACTGGTGGTGGTCTTATTGTTCCCGTCATTGTAAGCACCTTTTAGAATAGTTTGAAAAAGAGGAAGAAACAGAAGCAACAAGTAGCATTTTTTGGGAACTTTCCAGGCGCACGTCCCACGTTCCGACCCACGTCCCCCACGTCTCCCCTGTGTCCCCCACGTCCCCTGCGTCCCCCACCTCCCGCGTGTCCTGTCCGCCCCCGCGCCTTGCTTGCAGAGAGCAGCTTCGCAAAGGCGTGCTGCGCCCGGTTTGGGTCCAGCGCCTTCTTGATGGTGTACGTCTTCCTGAAGGGATTCGTTTAGTATGCAATGTAGGGCAGGTGATGATGCCATATGGCCAGCAAAACGCCCTGTATCTTCGAGATTTGTAGAGGTGATCCTGTCAGATTTCACGGGGCTTTAATTGGGGACATGGGCCATCGTTCCCAAAACACGCGCTCCCAAACCCTTATGCAGAAGGCCGAGGTTCCCTGGGATCACATTGAAGGGCCTGCCAGACACCGGCAGCATGGGCTTCCCGGGCACAGCCGGCAGGAAGCTATCGCTGCGCGCCAGGGCAGGGGAAACCTGGACCAGCCCGGAGAAAACAGCAGTTTCCCACAACGCTGTTCCAAAGACAGTATATAATCACAAAAACAATTGGCGATTTGGGGCCTATCAGTGGAAGGAGGGCAGGTCAAGTATTGACGCTGGAGCCAGCTTGGGGACCAAATCTCACCTCACTTGGCAATCGCATACAATGATTCAATATTCAATGACTTCCCGCGAGGCATTCCTCAGGGTTACACTTCCGAGAACACTGTCGTTTGAATGTGTGTATGCGATGGGCATGAGATAAGAGATCATCTGAAAGATGTGAAAAGGGATGGGGCATCGGACAGGAGCCTTCACCTTCATTTGCATTGCAACCAGTGGCTAACAGCTAACAGTGGGGGTTGATCCACATTCCTGGCCCCAAAATGACAATGGGTAACCATTCCCATGTAGTGGTGAAAGTCATTATATAGTATGTTTGCCGGTTTCCCTATTGGTTACCCCATGCAAAGGACCTGTTTTGATCAATCCCTAATGTGTTGTACAGGTCACGGTTCAGCATCGATCGATCTGTCGAGGAGCATAGCGCGCACCCCAAGAGGCAACCAGCTGCTGAAAGCGCAGGTAGTTCATGAGGGTCTCTGGGTATGTCGCCTCGGGTCCGTGGCCTTTTTCATGGCCCTTCGCCATCAAGGAAGTGGCATCGCGCGTGTCGAAGCCAACACATTTGCCCAGCGCAAGCACAGGAACATGACCAAAGAAACAAACTAACACCACGGCAATACTAAAACATTGATAGACCAACGCGAACACCAGCACAAATCCGAAACATGCCATAGATGTCAGCTGTTTCCTCGGAAATTGCCACTTGAACGCTTTGTGGGCCCGTAAAGGGGAGACCCCATTTGGATGAAGACCGCAGCGGAGCTCGCCCCTGCTCTGACCCAGGCAAGTTAAGATTTATGAGGCGAAGGGAGTATGCATCGTGTAATCTAGCCATGTATTCACAGGAGTTATTTATTTGCTTCCTGTTGATCTCTTCATTGACTTATCTATGTATCGACTTTGCTAATTGGTTGGTTAGTTACTTTGCTAGATAGTTGCCTGCTTTCTCATACATCTATTTGTACATGCCCTCCTTGCCTCCCCCGCCTCCTCCCGGCCCTCCCCTAACTTCAGGCGTGTCTGTGTGTGTTTGCCTGTCCAACCTCCAGTGTCACTCGTACCTCGGCTTTTTCAACGGCTCAAATGTCGCCAAACGAAGCTCCTTCGACCGATGTGGGCACCTCACTGGAGCGGATGTTGGAGGGCTCCACGCCAAAGCCCGCCTCATCCGCCGGAGGGAAGCTCCAGTCTGGCTGTGGCCCGTCCTTCACCTCGCGCTTCGCGGTGCTCGTGAGGTGGGTGGAAGGCTAAGGAAAGCAGCGAACAAAGAACAAATGCACACAGGAGATTCACGAGGCTACGCGCACGCATTGTGGGAAGCTCGTAATTGGATGTAATTGGAACATTCATGCCAAGGAACCGGCTTGCAAGCCACCTTGATCATGCCATTCCAGAAGTTCAAGCCGTCAAAAGGAAAACAAGCTAAAGCCTCCCATTCCCGCTGCCACAGATACTGCAGCTTTTCCACAAAAGAAAAGAGGTCCTGGATACAACTCCTAAACAAAAAGCCCCGCTGATGATTGGCTATAGGTGCAACTAGCTAAGCACAACTGACAAGGCATCTCAGCCATTTGCTGATCGACTACAGTAGCACTTTGCGACTAGCGGTTCATAGTGAAAAACATATTGGGAACAAAGGTACCAAGGTACTTTTGAGGAGTCAGGATCTGTCCCAAAATCTGTGATGCTAATCACCAGCGAGTGATAACATGGATCAGAACTTGGGTTTACTGTCTAACTTGGCGAATCAAACACCTAATATTGCCAGATGCCAATCTTGGGTGGGGATTTGTGTCCACCAAACACAATTGAGAAGTTGTTTCTTAAAATCATTAGGCAGCTTCCTTTTGGTGTTCGAAGGGGAAACGTGTGGATCAAACGAGCGCTGAACAATGGCATGTCACAGTGGGCTTTGAGGCCCTCCGCTAAGGCGGCATGTTTCCGTGCTCGTGCCAACTGCATGCAAGGGTCGGGGAAGCTTTGCCAAGCTGGTTGGGCCTGCCTCGGTGCGATCAGGAGACACATGCGCCAGCGGGATATATTTACATTTGCCCTCCCGGAAACTTCCCTTGAACCCATCCTGGGCCGCCCCAAGCACAGGATTGAAGCTAACACCCCACAGCCGGCGCAACCCCCAGCCCCCCAAAGAAGGGCGTTTTGGGGTTCTGCAAGCCTTTCTGGGGGGGTGCGCATTGGCGTTCACAAAGCTAGCCTTGTGCTGCTCCAAATGTGGCTCTGCCCTATATACCCCATTGTGAGAGAGGAGAGCAAGTGTGCAATTGACCTGCGCATGGTATGTGGAAGGGCCCCTGCCACCCTTGTTTGTTGAAAGTTGAAACTAGATGACACTGGTTTGAGTGTGGATCCAATCATTTACCGTGTCTAGTTGTTCAAAAGGCAAGCCAGGATCCAACCCCTGAAACGGGGGAAGCAAACAACACGCAAAGCCGCAAAGCGGTCTGCACGAATCGTGCATCGCCAACTTGGAAATGAGGGATGCCGCGGGCGGGTCCATCTCAGCGGGTACATCCTCGCCTCCATAGGGTACAGGCCAGGCACTGTTGCAAAAGCATTGTAGGGCACGACACTGAAAAGGCTGAAGGGGGTGCAAGCGGCGGTGTCTTTGTATTGCTGGCTTGCCGTTCTTTCAAAGCATCAAAGCTGAAATGCCATAAGCAAGGTCTTGCAAAGCTCTGCACACCAAGGGCAATTCGAGGAATGTCGCTTGCCATCAGCAATTCCAGTAGCTCGACGGCTACCCAACACCGCCCAACTCAAGACCCAGCTGCTCAATGAAGGAGAACTGGATGCCCAACTCCTTGTGACCTGAGCCAGCCATCTTGATAACAGTGCGCAGCGTGTGGAGTCAAAAAGACATAGCTCAAAGCTCAACCAGGCACGAGCTCCAAGCTGAAATGTGTTTACACTTTAAACCATCCACAAACAATGTCGCAGGTTGGTAGGACACCTTTTGGCCATCTTGGCGGCTCTCGAGAGGCTTGGAGTGCATGCGGGCTTGTCTTTTTTTGAGGAACCACTTTTTGGAGTGGTTTTTTTAAAAGGGACACCAACAGGAAAACCACCATGTTGGAGGTGTTTTGTTTCTTCTTCCGGCGTGGTTTTTTGAAGATGCGCCCAGGAGCAGCGATCCAAATCCTGAACCTGCGTCTGGCACAAGCCGCTCAGCATCCAAACCTCAGTCCCGCGAAAAATCCAAGCGGCGGCAAGGACCAAGCCACCCGGTGGCGTCCTATTTCAACAACGGCTCGGGAAAAACACAAACTGGACTGTCATCGCTGTAAACGCAAGCAAGCAATCTCAGTTTCTTGCAGTATTGCTTGCAAACCGACAACTCTGTGATTACAATAGTTGCCTTGGCCACATGAGTATGGCTTCGCAAAACAGACCCGGTCCAACCAAGTGAAGGGCAAAAGGGTGAAGTCACATCCATTGCATACCTCTCATTGCCCCTCAATGGCCAATAAGCCTGCCGAGTCTACAATTCAAGACCAAATATCCCAGACCTGCCTCTGGAAATTTGCTGAAGCCCCAATCAACGACAAGCAATGTGTTCCAGTGTTTTGGGCGCTTTGGATGTGGACCAAAAAAAACCTTTGCTGGGCTCGACATGAAACCGACGATTTGAAGGGACATCTAAAGGGCACACTCACTAGGCCGAGAGGCCCGGGCTGTGCTGCGGGGTGGGAGGCAGCTCTGAAGGTCCTGGCATGAAGGGAGGGGCTGGGGGGGCATACAAACCGATGAAAGAATACAGGCAAGGCGGTAGGCAGAGTTTAGGGAAATGTAAACTCAGGGAGGTCATGTGAGGTTGTGTATCAAATTCGGCCTGAGGTGGGATTAGGGGAGCTTGCCGGCTGGAATCCAAGCAATGGTTGGTCCTGGCGCACTTTGGGAAGCAACCACGTGGGAAACAAGGTTTGGGCCTGAGGTGTGCTACAAGGACAAGGGAGGGCAAAAGGCCTGCAACTGAAACAAATGTTCCAAAGCGTTGGTGGACGGCTGCCTTGTTGACCACATGAGGCATGAGGCTGAAACGAAGCCAGCAGCAATAAGCACTATGACAGGGCAATCAAACCTCAAAACGCAAAGCGGGGAGAAAAAAAAGAGCACAAACAAATCACAATTGATTGAAAGCCATATCCGCACGGCAACAGCCGTTGGAAGAAACAAATGATGCATACGTGGTATGTCAATATTAATAGATGTTAGCACATTTGCCGTTCGTTCTCATCTCCCACTTTCCTTTTGACTCTGTTTTCTTTCACAGTGCCGGTTCCAGCGGCTGCTCGCTCATCAAAGGAACGACCAACTTCCATCCATCCTTAAATCTTGAGGAATGCTGGTAAAGTAAACGCCAACTGTTGCTAGCTTAAGCGTACGGAACAAAATGCCACTGCGCAGCTATGACGTAGCTTGAGCAGCACGTCATTGTACATCATTGTACTGTACGCCCGTGCAGTATGCCGTGACATGCCTTTGCTTGAGATACATAAGAGCCTCCTGCGAGCCTCCAAACTGGCGTTGTCTCACTAGGCTTATGTTTCCAATTTGAGTCTTAAATGGACACCATCCAATACGTCTGAAACAAGTGTCATGTCGAGAAGCTCCACTTGGGCGGCAAGTCAAGGGTGCCATTCTCCCACGTGCATTCACGCCATGGATTTCCAAGAGGGGAAGTCCATTCAAATCTTATGCTGATTTTCGAACTGGCAGGGGCTGCATCAGTAAGGGATCCGCTCGTTCTACATCCAGGTGAGGTCGCAAAAGGCAGATCAATGAGTGGGCTATCCATCCCTTGAGACCATACCGAACTGTGCTTCGTCCTGCTTGCGCTGCGCCAGCCGGAGCATGTCCCCGGCGCCCGGGACCAGGTCATTCAGACTCTCAGGGGTTTCGGCAACCTCGACAGCTCGGAGCACATGGCAGGCGCCCACGTGAAGCAGCCACTGGGGCTGAGACTTCGCCTTTGTCTTCCCATAAACCTATTGTTTCAGGGTGGTTTTATTGCTTGGGGATTGACATGGAAGGCCAAACACCGGGAGGCCAGGCATGCCAACAAATCGGAACCCGAGGCAATCTTTAGAATGAAAGCGGGAACCAGGCCTGCAAACACATTTCTGCTTGTTGCAAAAGGTCTTCATTCGCGGCAATGGGGGTGTGACAGGAAAGGTCTACTTCGGAGCCCTTTCCATAGATCTTCCAAAACAGAAATGAACCCAGAAACCGCTACAAACAATTCCGAGACTGCCGTTGGCAAGTTGCACCGTTTACTGTGGAGCCTCATCGTGCCGCAGCGTGGTCAACTATCAAATGGGGCGGCAAATGGAGTTGCCGGCGTGTGGCCGTTGCGATTAAAGGGGGTCCAAAGAACACCATGCAATGTTTGAATGGGGCCTTTTGCATCTCTGGCCTTGAGGTACTTGGCGATGTGCTCCAAAGCATGCTCGCCCTGCAGAAGAGGCCTCATGTCCAACGTGAGAACAGGTCTGGTTCTCGGTAGAGACATAAAATAAGATGGCCGCGTGCCACATCAAATAGGGGAATTCAAAATTGGTGCCATCCTTCTGGGTCTCAACACTCTCCCAAAGGAGCCTTGTGGGATCTTGTGGGCAATCGACCCCAGTTTCCCGGCGCTGTTGCCCATCTGCCGGTTGCTTGGGGCTCCCACATGGTAACTGAGCTCCACACTACAACATACAGACATCTTTCTACACGCGGGCATGGCGGGTACTCACCCAAAGAACAAGGGACAGCATGATCCTGAGCATGTGTTCAACAGCGCGTGCGGCCACTTAAATGTCAAAAAGCGCAGAGTTGGTCGATTCAGCGCATTACATTTCAGTTTCGGCTCGTCTTCATGACATGGGAACCGCCCCAACAGAGCTAGATATGCTTCACCCCAAAGGCCGATCCCAAGGCCGAAGGCGATGCCAAGCACGAAGCAGGTGGCTTCCCTAGATACAAGCACAGTACAACGTCGAACGAAACGCAGCCCAAGCAGCGAGGGGACCAAAAGAACTTTGCATCACTGCAGGTACAAGGGGCTGATAAAACCATCACCCATTAGTAGCTTCGTTCGCACAGGTATCAACGATACACACGCAGAAAAGCAACAAAAGGTCCATGCCATGCCTCTTGGCTATTGCATCAACAACCTCTCAAAGTGCTGTGGCGGCTTAACCAAAGATTGAATGGACATCGGTAGCGCTTGCCAGCTTCAAGCTTCTCCCCGCGCCAGGAACTGCGTTCCAATGGAAAGCTCAAAGCAAAGGACAATGCCTATCCACCGTCCCAAGGTTTGTACCAGCAAAAGCCACTTTCTAATCAAGGCCTGATGAACGTGTCAACGCAGTGCTCACAGCACCCGTCACCGCCGGCTTGCTTGCGGCCATGCAGCAGAACCTCCACGCCATAGGGTGCTAAAGCCATAGACAGGCGCGTGGCCAGCTGCAAAGTGCGCCAAAGCGTCAGGCCGCTGGAGGAGTACGTCCTCGAGTGCATCTCTCTCGGGGAAAGCTCACACTCAGCATCCAATTCAGGCAACTGGGCCTTGCGTCCAAGTAAAGGAAGCTGCAGGCATCTGCTGAAAGCTTCCGCCGCTCAGCATTTGCGCTTGCTACCTGCCAAAATAGGAGACTCGTGGGCAAATCTGCAGCGAGCAAAAAAAATGCTCAAGAACTTTGCTCAAGTGGTTCCAGAAAGGCTCCACTTGAAACAAGCAGGTCATCTGTTTGGAAAAGGGGGCCCACATAACATGCACACATTCTCCGGGCCAAGGTTCAATGGCAGAATACGGAGGGCCCCGAACTCAAAAATCTCTCTGCTTCAGCTTCTGGGCTCGAGCGCCTTGCCTGGAAGGCCAGCAGGATGATGGCCAGCCGGTCATCCGAATCGTTGTGGTCCACATCCACCAGCATTACCTGCCCCATGCGCTACATCACATTGACATCACGGTCGCTAGACGTGCGCGCAGTGTCGTGACCTGCGCATAGGAACCTCCCAACCTCCCCCTGGCATTTGCGCAGCCAAACTCACGCCGAAGCAAAAATGGAGACTTCTGGGCCTGCCACCATTCAGTAACAGTTGCCACAAGTTGGAATACCATTTCAGTGGTTGATCTCAACAACCAGCATCCGCTATCAGTAGATAGGGGATCACTTCAAACCTCAGGGTAAGGATGTGCAGCAAACAAGCTCCACCCCCAGCGAAATCGCTCGTCTACGCCTAAGCCGGATGCCTGGGAAGGTCACCCCAAGCGAAAGCACCCAAGGAGCTTGCCGCAGGGCGCCCAGTCGCGGAAAGTTGAAATCCGACGGACTTTGCCGTAACAAGCACCTCAAACAAATAAAACCGATGGATGCACTCCGGTTTGTGGGGGATCTTTCACGAGAAAGCGGTTTTCAAAAACCAGAGATTCTCGCATGGCCGCACATGCCTGCTTCAGGGGGGACGTACAAATCGCAACAGCCGTTTAGGCTCTCCTTTGTAGCATTGCAGGTCAGCTCACGCTGCTGTTCTTCTCATTTGGCTAGTGTGTGTGTGTGTGTGCGTTTGGCCGGCGCGAATACTGTGCACATGAGCGCGTGTGCTTATCATTGGCCCAGAGCGGATACTGTCCAGTGCAGGCGATCAGAAGCGTACTAGCGTACTTATTAAAAGTGTACACAAGTCGCAGCACGACTACAAACACCGCCACCAAAACAAGCCTCTCTAAGATTAAATCAAGTTGATTAAAGGCTGCAGCAATGATCTGCTGCACATGTGATTGCCTGGCCCGCCTGGTTGTCCCCCATTGCTTGGAAGTACTCTGGCGCGTCGGACCAGCCAAAGCCTGGGGAGACAACATGCGAAGGCAGCTCCGAGGAAGGCATGGACGCAAGGGGAACGAGGGCCTCAGCTTCAAGCCAGGAAGACCGCGGTCAAGTGCTAAGGCCACCAACTCTTGAGCTGCAAGTCGTGTTTGGCTGGCAGCTAGCATCGCTTCTGATTGCACAAGCTGGGGTCCTGTAGAACTCAGCAACGTCACTGTTTGGCCGGTCTATCAAACTCGCTTGTTGATATCTTCAACATGTCAAGGCAATAATTATCAAATAAGCCGAACGCTGAACATGCCGCGTAACACCGCACACAAAGAATCTTGGAGCACGCGCCTCTTGAAAAGGCAAAGGGGCGTTCTCTTGGCCGGGCGCGCCACATGTGCAACGATAGCGCGACTCTTCGGCTCTTCCTTTGTCGAATGCCCCTCTCAACCGGAGAGCAAACCTCTGGGCAATCTCCGCAGCAAAAGTGAGACTTCCACTTCCACAACCCAACCACACTGAGTCACGAAGCGAACCAAGCTACACATAGCCAACGCCGCTTTACAACCAGGACCTATGGCAAACATATGTTTGTTCCCCAAAATGACAGGGATAAGGCATCCCTTATGCCAAAGCTTGACAATCATGAAATTGATCCGGCCCCAGCTGCACGAGCAAAGCCCCAAATAAAACCAAGCTGGTTTGCACAAATGGTGGCTCAACACAGCCAAGCGGCGATTGAAAAATGAGTGGAAGCCTTTTCCGGAGTCTTCCAAGGCGTCAGAAAGCCATTCCACTGCTTGCCTCACACACCGCTAAGCTGAGGGGAGGTTGGCCCCTTCGAGGTTGGTGGGCGGGGGTGGGTGGGTACAACCCCCTTCTGTGGCACACGCTGCGCTAACACCGAGCCGACACATCTCAGCCCTGGAGTTTTTCCAGACCCTTGCAGAATTCGGTGACATATCGACATGGCCTCAACTCATAAGGGCATACCACACAACGCCCCAAACAAGGGAAGGTGGTTTCAACCTTCGCCGTGGGCAAAGTCTGGAAGCCAATCCTGTAATTGCCCACTGATTTCCTCCATTCTGCCGTTCCTAACCATTCCGATGAATCTTTAATGAGAGTCCAATGAACCTCCATCGAAACTCCAATGTCTGAAGCTCCAATGAAACAACCTGGTCCTGGGTCTCTGGAGCTTTCGAGCTAGTTCATCTGCGATGTGACCGGCATTAGGTGCGCGCACTTGGCGCGCGTGACGGAGTCCCGCCCCGCGGGCTACCATAAACCCAACTAAATCTTGTCTTACCCCTGTGCGGTCTGCAATAGTCTTAATGTGCCCTTAAACATCAAGACCGCAGCTTAGCTGCAAATGCAAACAGCCCTTCCTTTAACTTCACCTGAAAGGAAATACTTGATAAAGTCGCATCGTTTCCGCATCCTGTTGCAACCCAGGTGCAGGAGGCTTCTCTCTGCATCTGCGCTGGAAGGGAGCGCCAGATCTATCTCCACCTCTCTCCCGCTCTCTCTCTCTCCCTCTCTTTCCCTCTCAGCATTTATCAGCCAAGGCCAAAGCATTCATCTGTAGCGAGGCACCGTCAGCATACGCCATTGTGCTTTCCAGAACAAATTGCCCAATGAGGAATGGTCCAACTTGCATTATCATGTTGTGCAAGGCCGACGTAGCATGCAGCGGCAAACAGCAGTTTAAACAAAAAAGCAACGCTTCTCGAGCCCTCACGTCAAAACATGCCTGCAAACTCACAATCTCGAAAATTGCAATTGTCAAACAACATTGCAATTTGCAATTTGTAATGATGGCAACCTAGTCAAACATGCAGAACATACCATGTAAGGCCAGTCTGCTCGTGCTAATTCCATGCGCCTCTGCATGCGCGTGACAGTAGCCACTGCTCAGAAGTCTCTGCCAGGTAGAGTCAGCAGCATTACCGACTTCATCTAGGAGGCTTCTGAGCTGCAAGTGCTTAAACTTCTCCTTGCCGTGCCGTGTCTGGTTAGACATCGGCCCAAAGCCAAGCAAGCTCTGGGATGCCACGTTCCCGTATGACCAACCAAGCCAAGAATGCCATAAAATGTCATGTAAAACGTCATGTTTTGGGGGTTTGCTGTCGCTGCGGTGTGGTCTTGAATTTGCATTTCCCTGTCCAGTTGAACAACGCAGCAATTGGCAAGATTGCTGGTACGTTGGGCTGGCTTGACTGCACCTAATTGGAATAGGCGTCGCTGAAACAATGGTCTCACTTGATCGGATGCTGCGGGAGGGGGGGTGGGGGTTGTCACCTTCTCTCACCCGGAAGTCCCAAACCTGGGACACTGTGAGTGGAAATGTTGACATTCCACTCGCGCGGCTCAATTTTACGGGCAACAAATCCAAGAATTGCCGCGAAGGCTCTGCTTTTGTTCCTCCTTCTGGCGTCGGCATTGCAGGCGCTGTGGAGTAACTGACAAAGCTAAGGGTTTATGTGTGTGTGTGCTGTCTTGCAGCAATCAAAGGCGGTTCGCCAAGAAGCGACCAACGCGTGGCCATTGCCTTCAGACTGTGCCAATACTCCATTGCATTCCTAGACAGCGCTTGAATGCATAGTGAAGGTTGGTCTCTTGGTCAGACGTGCCAACTGCGTCAATCGGTGAACATAAGCAGCTAGATGTGGTCTTATCATAGCCATGGAACAAAGTTACGATTCTGTAGCTAGCGCTCATTTGCCATGTGTGTGTGTGAATAGTGCAAGCTTGAGAGCTATTATGGAAAACAATGAAGCTGCAGCAACCGCATCCGTGTTCTGCATCCGTACACCGGTGATGCGCTCAACAGCAAGTGACGCTCAATTCGAATGTCACACCAACATCCAACTGAGGTGCCAGCATCGTTGGAACATTCCGCCACTACTCGGGACAGGCCAGCCTTGCGCAGCGCCCCAAGTTGCTAAAAGGACACTCAATCTGCCATGTCCCAATTCCTACAAGACTTTGAGATGGAGGGGAGAGTGAGCCTTCTCGATTCGGTAAAATGGCTTGGAACCCGCGGAATTCCTTTCAGAGGCGAGGCAAGTCTTGGGCACAAGGCCAAACCATGCCAAAGTACAAAAAGGGGCTTGCACGAACTCACCAACTTAAGAGGGTCACCTTCGCTAGGAATGGAATGCACCAGCTGCCATGGCAGCAAAGCTCTGCAAACAAATTGCAGCTGCTTTCCTTCCTTTTACTCAAATCCAGTCCTTCGGAACCTTTCCGCAAGTTCTGCCTGAGGAAAGGCTCCATCCAAGTTACAAGTGTCACATCGCACTTGGCCCAAGCCCCGCCCAAAACTTGGATGGAATTGGGACCCCAGCAAAAACTATCCTTTTTGCCTGGTTAGTCAAAGAAGCAACAACAAAAAAGGGGAACTAAATCTGGGGAAGAAAGCACGAGGGATGGGTTTACGGAGCGCCTCTCTTGCCAACTTGGAATTCGACTCCCAGCCTCAAAGCCGGCACGCCACTGCTGCACATCAGCCCGCTGCCTTTCGGGGGATTCTGCTTTGGGGTCAAGCCAGAGCCACATCGGCATCTTTTTGAGGCCACAGGCTTGAGGAAGCTGGCATTGCAAGCATGACAACGTACAACACATGGCCATGAGGAGGCTCAGAACTGCTCCCACCCCTCTGGATCCTGATCTATACACACGGCAATGGCCAACTTGCGGGTGAATAGCATAATAGCATGCTTGGGTTGGCACACCCGACCCCCTGCGGAATTTCGATCACACGCCCGTGAACTCCGGAAATAGCGTCTAATTCTAGCCACCTGACCAATACACCAGAGAGTTGCAAAAAAAAACGTTGGACCCGTCCTGCCCCAAACTGTGGCACAAAAAGGGGCATGCCTCTGGCATCCAAAGGTACGCATTAACACAAGCCGGCGGAAACAGAACCAACACCACTGCACAAGCATGGTTCATGGCCGTTTTCATCGAAAGGCGCAGTGTTTTCATGGCTCAGGCAAGCCAAACGGGGTTTTAGAAGAATATTGTCCTGTTGAATATCAGCTTTGCAACAAAGCCCACCTCGGCAGAACCACCTTTGGACACCCAACAGCCAACCCTCTACATCGGCTGGTGCCAGCGTTTTCCAAAACTGCTCAGCGGATGTTTTTGCCATGTGGGCTAAAAAAGAAACCCCGTGGACAACCTTTGTATCCTTATGCCTCAGTATCGGTCAGTATCGGTTTTTTACTCTGCATCGGTTTGCAGTGTTTTCGCAGCTCTGGCTCGAAAGTCGCGACTTCTCCGTACAAGTGTAGTATGCGAAGTACACTCTGCCAGGTCCCAGCTCCAGCTGGAAAGTCGCAACTTTTCAGTACAAGTGTAGCACACAAAGTACATTTTGGCAGCTCCAGCTGGAAAGTAGCAACTTTTCAGTAGTATGCGCAGTACACTTTGGCAGCTCCGGCTCGAAAGTCGCAGCTGTTCAGTGCAAGCAAGTGTAGTATATGGTGTAGTATACGAAGTACATTTTGGCAGCTCCACAGCGGAAGTCGCAACTTTTCAGTACAAATGTAGTACACAAAGGCTCCAGAGAAGGCTGCAGGGCCGCTGGTTGGATTCGGCATGGCGGCCAATGAGTTGGGTACCGGTTGGGTATCAGTTTGGGTATCGGTTTGGGCCCTGCAAATTTATGATTCCGCAATCTTGGTTTGCGACAACAACTAGGACCTGATGTGTGTCTTGGGGGTATCGGTGCTTTTTCCTCTGTATCGGTTTACAATGGTTTTGGCCTGCGAAACAAGCTAAGGGACGGTGTGTTTCATGACCTCCAAAATGAGGCTAGTTTTCCTGCTGGTTTCCTTTGATAAAACCAGCAAAACGGGTACCCACAAACAAGAGACCCAACCACCTACACCACTGAACATACCCATGCCGACAGCGCCGGCTTCTCTGTGGCCGCTTTGAGCTCCGCGAGGTTCGTCCGCAAGGCCTCCGCAATCGAATCGGATGGGCGTGTCTCTTGGTTTGATAGCCAGGGAATGAGAATGGAATGACCACCAGGAGAAATATAAAGAAATATATGTATACATCTCCATGGTTGGTGACCCCTAAAAACCATCCCGGTAACTATCCCATATGGTTGGTTTCGTGTAAGTTCATTTCCAAAACCCGGAACGGTCATTGCAACACGGGATCCCCAAGGTAAAGATTCTATGTTGCCAAGCCCGAGCCACACCGACACATCCCCCTCAACAACATCAACAAAATGGAAATGACATCCCACCCCTCCTTCCCTCAAGGGGCGACTTTGGACTCCTCAGGTAAGCCAGCCTGTCCCATAGTTCCTCAGTGGCCGTTGATCTTTTGACCCATTGACCCCCCCGAACAATTTGCTGCCACTCATCATCATCACCACCACCACCACCATCACCATCACCATCACCATCACCATCACCATCACCATCACCATCACCATCACCATCACCAGCAACACCATCACCATCACCATCATCCTCATCCTCACCATCACCATCACCATCACCATCACCATCAGCATCACCATCACCATTACCATCACCATCACCTGCACCAACCTGACATTCCCGAATCCTGTCTAGCTTTGGCACCTGCACCTCTGCCGCAGCAGCTCGTTGCGACTCCAGGATCGACTCCACCTGAAAACTCAAGCAAGCCTACAGGGGTCACTGGATTTCCCCTCCACAAGCTACAATTGACTGGTGGTTTCCCTTGAAACCGCGTCTTTTGGATGTTCCCAAAATGGCTCGGAATGTGGGCCTACCCCAGGCAGCAAGCCTGCCTTTGCAAGATATTGGTTCAAAGGGAAAACATCGGCTTGTCCCCAATCATCTTGAACACCACGAAAGGCTTGGGGTCTCATGCACCTTACTTTGCACATTTGTCTTTTGTTGGCAAAGCAAAGCTTTCCCGCTAGGAGGTCGTAGTGGCTTCCACGACATTCGAAATGCTGGTTTTTGAAAGCGTGCGAGGGCTGAACGACATCCTGCCACGCCATGTGAGCAGCACAAAGGAACGCCAGCACCATCTGAACAGCTCATAGTCATTCCGACATCTTAGATGAAGGACACGAGGAACCTTTATATACCTTCATCAATGAGAAAGCCCATTCTATCAGAATTGTCCTGCCCCAGGCGAGCTCGCGCTAGGATTGCTTCACATACTTGCAAGCCTACATATCGGCTTCGGATGCGAAAGCGGAGCATGGCTACACCCACCAAGTTGTCCGAAGCATCGAATTCGCCTCCTCCTCTGAAGCTAAACGGACATCTCGGAGCTCAGAAGCGTCTGCCTTGGCGATACAAGCGGGAATAGGGGAATTTGGCTGCGGGTCGAAAATGGGTACCCAAAATTTAACCCTGGTAAATGGAAATATGAACTAAAGTCTGTGGTCCCCTGGTTGTTTAATTTGACCCACGGCCATTTAATCTGCTCGAAGGGAGAACTTTACTCTGCAAACTCCCTTTGACGGCTCAAAACGCATCCATCGAAGAGTACATAAGAAGTCAATGCAGTTACCATTTGAGAACTTCGAGTGACTTGGCCAACATTTCGGCGTAGGGCATGGATGAAACGGTGAGAGGATGTAATCAAGCCCATGAGCTATATCTCATCCGTCACTCAAGCTGAGCTCGGCGCTTTCCGGTTCAGGCCGGCCATTAGCTCCTCTTGCATCTCCCCTGTTCTTCTTTCAACCTGGCACGGCCAGCCTGTGAAAGGGCCACTGGCAACTTATCATGCGAAAGCAAGCTGTCTCTTTCTAAAACTCAAGAGTCGATGGCTTGCATAGGCATAGAGGTTAGAAAGAACACGTGGCACATCTTACGCGAGAGTAGAGTTCCTCTTGAATTCAAGCCTCACCCTCTTGCTTTTAATTCCTCTCAACGCCAGGTGGCGTCTTGCCCCGGGTTCAACATCTGGTATTTTATCGAATCCGAAAAATCCTGCATTTCCTCCTTATGCCTCTCCCTTTTGCCTCGTGTCACACCAAAAGGGGGAATGGGCATCGTCTCGCTGTGCTTGAGTTGCTCTGATTCATTGGCAGTGTGTATGCCTTGCTGTGCTTTGATTGCCTGCTACTGTACAGTTTGTTCAACACGTAGAAAGGAAATGGAGCAAGCATGGCTGGTCAATTTGCCCCAGGATCGCATTGCCATAAATTGATGTCTATGCCTAGTGGCGACGTGGCGACTAGTAAGAGTTTGCTATGCCCGCCCCAAATGACACAGCCCTGGGGCAACCCAAGGAACGCTCCCCTTTTCCCACCTCCCGCACTGCTTGGCTTTGCGCGTGGGCAACGTCACAGAGCGCCTGCCGACTTGTTTCCACTCAGTCCGCTAGTCAACAATCGTTTTCACAACGCGACGGGTTGCCGAAGGTTTGGTATCTTGCCACAGCGGGCTCGCCCTTCACAATTCAATGGTCAGGCAAAGGCCCAGGACTATTTCCCATTGCCTGGCCACAGTCGATCGTGCCAGGCAAGGATCGCAGCGCAACCGAGGATGCAGTAAAGTTCTGCGTGTGACCTGAATAGGAAACACGGCAACGCTTGCTGAACATTGTTAAACAAACATGTTGAAACCGCTGTCCGGCAAATGGTGTGAGCGATTGCTGTACTTGGACCCGTCTTGTTCGCAAGCAACGGCAAGACCCTGCGGGCGATGCGCTTCAATGTGGTTGAGGTTGCCGTTGTGTGGGGCCAGAGTTTGAGACAAGATCAACAAAGCTGGGGGGTCTTGTGTGGCGCATTTGCAAGGGCGCCTCAACCCTCGGATCCTCCGGCGGCGTAACGAAATGAGGCAGCTAACATGAATTGAGTGATCCCCAAGAACATTTGCCTGGAAGATCGTCTTCATCACTCCCTGCACATCGCGCCAGTCCTCAGCTCTGAATTTTGTGCTTCCCAAAGCTGGAGATCTTGAGTGTGCTGCAGGTCAGTCAAAAGGCGGGGTCTCTCTCTTTCTCTCTCCTGCTCCCTCTCCGTGCTGTGTCAGTGTGTGGCTGAATGTGGATACATATACGTATGTACCGTTCGTACGTACGCTACGTAGGTGGCTTCGTAAGGAAGGAAAAGCAAGGTAAGGTTAGGTTGGTAGGTATGTAGGTATGTAGGCATGTAGGCATGTGGGTATGTAGAACGTATGTATGTATGTATGTATACATGTTGGCAGGTAGGTAGGCAAGCAGGCAAGCAGGCAGGCAAGCAGGCAGGCAAGCAAGCAGGTAGTAGGCGCGGAGGTATGTTTGTTTGTATGCACGCATGCATGCACATGTGCATGTGCATTTGGATATGCCGGCACGGATGTATGCATGCATGTAATATTTAATGGCGTGCGTGACAGCATGTGTGCGTACGGGTGGGTGCGTGTCTGTGTGGGTGTGTGGGGCGGTATGCATGCATGCATGCATGCATGCCTGTATGTATGTAAGTATGTATGTGTGTATGTGTGTATGCATGTATGTATGTATGCATGCATGCATGTATGAATGTACGTATGCATGTAGGTGTGTAAATGTGCATGTGTGTGTGGGACGGCTTGGGTGCACTCAGCCCATTCGAACCAGAATCCTGCACAGGACAAACCTGCGGTTCAGGGCGGGGACCTTGCTCAGCGCAAGCACGCGTGCGCGTCATGGCAAGGCCGGCCCCGCAATCAATACAAGCACGCGCTTCCCAACTTGGAGCCCCGCGAGCTATATTATGGGCAAAACGGCGTGATAGCCTAGCCAGCGAGGCAACCCAAATTGCTCTTGCCGCACCGATCTCTTGCTGCAGTACTAGGCCTGCGAACGTGCAGCTTGCAGAAGGGGCAACCTTGAGCATCTCAAGGTTCAGTCCCGCACCAAGAGGATAATGATAGAGAGTGAGTGCAACATACCGGAGCACATCGGAACGCTTTGAAAGGTCAAGGAAGTGATGAAAGTGCGTGTTGTGAGCGTGGCAGCGTGGCGCTGGCCAGGCTGTGTGGAATCGTGTGCAGCTGGCGAATCACAGTCAACTGTTTCTGATGGTTTCCCAGGCTTCGCGTATCCTTGGAGGGGCACAGGCTACGGTGTAGGAGGGATATAGGGGAGCTTACTAATTAGAACACAGGGCGCCTCAGGGGAGCTTGGCTTTGGGGGCGTGGGGGGTGGGGTCCACTAAGCACACCCCATTGCACGAAACAAATCGTAAAGTGAACAAAAACAACAAAACCACGCAGATGTGGTCGGGCAAGGATTCTTGCCGCAAACAAATCTAGAAAGGGTCGCCGGCAGCAAATGAGGGAGACCTCCTCCACCAACCGCACAGGCAGCGGTCCCCCCTGTGAGCTGCACACAGCACAAGCATTCTGCCCTTGGTGTGACGGGCGCTGCCCCACAGACATGGGCACCAGCCCAGACCAAAGGGCACGTAAATGTAAATGTGTATAGGTATGTATGTATGTATGTATGTACGTATGTAAAGTATGCATGTGTATATGTATGTACGTAAAGTATGCATGTGTGTATGTGTGCATGTATGTATGTATGTATGTGTATGTGTGTCTGTAAGTATGTGTGAATGTGTGTATGTATGTATGTATGCATGCATGCATGTATGCATGAATGTATGTATCTATCTACCTATCTATCTATCTATGTATGTATGTATGTATGTATGTATGTAAAGTATGCATGTGTGCATGTAGGAATGTATGTATGTATGCATGCATGTATCTATGTGTGTATGTCTGTATGTATGTACGTACGTATGTATGTCTGTATGTATGCATGTATGTATGTGTGCATGTATGTATGTGTGCATGATGTATGTATGTATGCATGCATGCATGCATGTATGTAAATTATGCATGTGTGTATGTATGCATGTATGTATGTGTGCATGTATGTATGTGTGCATGTATGTATGTATGTATGTATGTATGTATGTATGTATGTATGTATGTATGTATGTGACAGTGTATGTGTGTATGCATGCATTTATGTATGTATGTACGTACGTACGTAAAGTATGCATGTGTGTATGTGTGCATGTATGTATGAGTATGTGTGTATGTATGTATGTACGTATGTATGTATGTGGCCCCGCGTGTGGGCGTCTCTCGCTGCGTGTGTGTGTGTGTGTACCTGTTTGCCTGTGTGTGTCAAGGTGTTGCTTCTTTCCAACAATGCCTTGCTAAATACACTTCTGACGGGGCTGAACCCCAGGCTGTCAGGGTTCTTGGGCCGCTAACCTGTTCTAACTAGTCAGGCTTCCCTCTTGATGCCTGTCTGGCTCAAGACTGATTTCTGACAGGCCCCAGGCATAGGAATAAACCAACATGCCTTGTTTGTGCAGGCCAAAGCGAAAGCATCATTTTATGGGGACGATGAAATCCAAAAGGGGAGATTCATGCACATTCGTGCCGTCCACACATGTGTAGCATGACGCCAGTCAATGCGGGTTCCTGCAGCAAAGCGGCATGAAGCCCGCCAAACAGCTCCTCCAACTGCTCAGGCGCCTCCATGGTCCAAGAGGAGAGGATGCGAGTGCCACTCCCTGGCTTTCGTCTTCATGCCTGTCATTAGGCCCTTGGCCTTGCACTGCCCAAATATAAAGCGCTAGTTGCGGCAATGGGCGCGTTCAAGGCTGGTCCATTCTTGATTCCCATGTTTCTGCTTCACAGTTTGTCTGGCAATTTTCCTTGGCTTAGGGCTTTCCGATCTCTCCCCCTGGTTGGCGATGTGATCCCCTGGTGAAACCAACTGAAGCCAAACACGGCGGCGTGCATGTCTAGCAATGAAGGCCAGCGACAGCTTCAGCTGCATCTCTTTGCTGGGAGCTCAATACTTAAACCAATCAGGCCAATGAACAGGGGGCCTTCCCACAAAAACGCTTGCGCCAAACTCTGCACCAACCTGCCAGTGACTGAGATGCGACTGCTTTGATCCCTGCAATACCTGACATTCATGCCGGACGCTTGTTGTGGTGGTTTGCATCTTCCATAATTAGCATCCAGGGACTTCTGGAAGCAAGTCGTTGGCAAACAGCAGCCAATGCAGCGCTTTCAATCGCACGATGCATCATCTCCTGCTGAGACACGTCTTTGCATGGCATTGCCAGGAAAGCAACCGATGTGGCCAAGCTTCCAAACGTCCGTGTGGCAGTGAGGCCTGCATCTCTCCCAGCCGTCTGGCCGGGAACAGGACACCTCCTGCCATCCGCTAGTCAGTCCAGCTGTGGACGCCAACCAGTCCGCCTGAAACGGATCATGTGCACGGAAATGCCTCCCACATTGCCATCGCGACAAAGCCAATCCGTCCAAATTGCCTCAGTCGGCCCAAGTCGAGGCCCCCGCCTGCTGTCGAAGAACATGTGACAAGCCGGCCAAAAGCAAAGTGGGCTCTCAAACATTGAGAAGCATCATATATGGCTCATGAACTTTTGTTGGTTGCTGCTTGCTCGGTTTGGGTGTTAGGGGTGTCATCGCGAGGAACACATATGCACGCTGGTGGCCGCTGGTGTCTGCTCACCGACGGCAAAATACACTTGCGATTTGGCCAAAGCGCAAACTTTTTTGACATCCGCTAGAGAGGGAGCAACAAACCCTTGTAATCAATCAGGCGAAGCCATGTGCAACCGGAGGAAAACGTCGGTTTGAAAGTGGCAAGCAATTTCCTCCCATTCAAGTTGTGTCCGCCATTTCGAAAGTCATGCAATGCACGGCCTGATTTCACTTTGCTGTAGGCAATCGGGATTCACTTGCTTGGCTTTCAAAGTGGTCTCAATCCGAATCTTGATTGGGCAATGACCATGCAGGGGTGGGCCTTTCGTAATTCAAGATGACAACTAGCCTTTGAACGGCTGGTTTACTGCAAGGGCAAGGGATTCCTTGGACTCAAATACTGTGATTAATGCTGGAATGTTGATTTACTAAACTTTACTAGACTTGAAAGATTCTCAAAATTAGGGGGCCCTTTCTCGATGGCTTTAAATTTGTAAACCAGCTGGAAACCGTCTTGGGACCGGTTTGTTGGAAGCAGCTTCGTAGACCAACAGGAATCAATGTGCAATTCAGTGTTGTAAACCATTTAGGGCACCGACTCCGTCTGCGGATGGACGAAACCCACTTCCCACCACTTTGAAACCATGGTGGAAACCATTGTTTCGTCGGCATTTGCCGGGGAATCGAATCCTTCCAGGGTTGTGCGAAATGGATTTCGTCCATCCACAAAGCACCACCTCGGACCTAGCGGCGGGGTCCAGCTTGGCCTTCACCGCCTCCGTCTGCCCGCGTGGGCAAATCAGCGCTGCCCGGCCTCCTACCCGCAGCACGCGGCGCAGCGCCGCTGCCAGAATCTCCGGGTCCAGGAAGCGCATGCCTTCGCAAAGCAAAAAAACGGGCAATCTGCAACCCTGCGGCTTAAAACCAGTGGGCCAACAAAATCACATGATTTTGGAAAGCTTCTTAGACATGCACCTGTAGTTGAATCATCTGTGAGCTGGTGGTCCGAGTGAAGATCCGCGAATCGCCACCCACGAAAACCCCCCTCGGAAAGTTGCGAACAACGCGTCATTGGAACAGCCTTTTCAAGAGCTTTCTATGACGGAATGTCCGCAATGCAAACATTTGGCGTGGGCTCGGAAACTGAGGCGCTCTTCTCAAGCGGAGAGTCGGTCCCGCGGTTCCCCATGCAAAGGCCAAATAAATACCAGAACATGGCAGGCGTCTGGGGGCTGCGTTGCAAAAATATCATCCAAGCTGCAGCAGTTCTTGCCCTCCTAATCTGGCGATTTTCCGCTCAGCTCGTGACAGTTCGTGACAGCATGTGATTTCACTGGGCTGTTCAATCAACATGGAGTGTTGGCCAATCTTAGTCCATACTCATTGGAAAGCCACAAAGGGGACCCCTTACGTAACCCAAGGTAAGGATTAAGGAGTCCCTTACAGCCCAAGCACTCAGGCAGCGGCTCACTCCAAAGGGCAGCTCGGAGATGACGGCATCGAACTTATCCGTTGTCTGACGCCACCATGCGATGCCACGGAACACCACCTGCACCCTTGAGCCCTCGGCCAGGAGCCCCTTGGATTCTGCCACCTGACATTGAGCCCCACTCGATGAAGCAAAATCAATGCTGGCGTAAATGAGTCCCCATGTATGAAGTGCTGGGACCGGAGCCCTACCCCTGCAGTTCACCCTCAACTGGTTCCCAGCATATGGTTTAAACACTTAATCCCGTCACTTCAGGTTGCATAGGGATGGCCGTGATGCTCACCCACCTCAAGCCAAGTTGCAACTTTTGTTTACAACTCCCGCATTTGAACCCCCCCCTTCCCCCCCCCGGCCATCTACTCGGCCAAGTAAACAAAATACTGTCCTTATCAGGGAATAGCTGGTCTGCTGCAGTATCACGCTCCAGCGATTTGGGTTCCCTGATGGCAATTATCGTATCAAAGGCCCGCGACCCCTTGTTCATAACATGCATACATCCTTGGTGCTCAGCCACACCAGCACCATCCCGCCTGGATGTGCTCCTCTGCAAGCTTGCAAGCCTTGCCGCTCACGTCTGCGGTCACTGCATGCACGTTGGAGAACTGGGATGCAGCCTGAAAGCGGCTTGTTGTTTAAAGCAAATGCGAACCACACGTACGTGTTGTATCATTTTGTTGTCAGGCCAATTGCCTTGAACAATGGGATCTCTACCATTCTGTTCTGCAGCTCTGCACGTTCTATTTGGGTCTTGTCAAGGATGCTTGCACCTGCATCTTAAATCCCGTCAGGCCGAAAAGCATGCCGTGCCGTTCTATGACCCAAATTACGTCATGTGCAACGTCACTTGAGAGCTCCAGAAGCGCTTGGGGGAAGGCTGCTGTCTTCTGCCACCTGAAAGTCCGAGCAGAGTGGCACTTTGAAGCACACGGCACATTTGCCTGACATCTTGGCATTCTACGCCCCTTGCCTCTAAAGCAATGGTGCCGCATCCGCCACACAGGTCCAGCACTTTCTCGCCCGGCTGCAACTGGCCGAACTCCAACCTTGTCAGCACTTCCAATGGCAAGTCCAAGGTCCGTTTGTGCGACCCATCACTCCATGAAACTTGTCTGGGCCTGATCGGAATCGGAAGGCGATGCAGGTGTCATTGGCAGTCTGGCTGCATCTGTTCTTTCGAGTTTGAAAGGGTTCCTAGGTCCTCCAAGTAGAGAGGTGAGACTAAGGGTACCATTTTTTCTGTAGTCTACTAATTGGCAAACCTAGGTTAAGTCCAAGGGCCCAAATCTCTTGGAGGTCGCTCGACCATTTCTTGTGGGAGACTTGGGCAGGTGCATCGACCCCCACGGCTGGAAAAGCTGCGCCACATCAGCCGCGCCGTGGAGAAGCGCAGGTGCCGGGCATCTGTGAGGTGCCAAGCCCGCGCCCTCGGAGCCCGGATGCCCGAAACATGTTTTGCTCAGCATGCCTTGCACATGGGAGGTGTCAATGGATGTCAATACTTCACGGACCTACCAAGAACTCCTTCCATTCCGAAAAAGTAGGGCACATTGGTCCCAGCAGCTCAGTGGGAAGCTTCGATGGATGCGTCGCACCCTTGCGGCTCTCCCCAAGCTCTGCGCAGGAAAGGCCCAAGGTGATGCGGCTTCGGTGGATGATTGCCATGACCTCTGGACGGAGTGTTCAGGTGCCTTTGTGCTCTGAAGCGAACCAGAAATACATGCGTTCCGGATGCACTACCAATGAAACAAACAGGCAGGAAATGTAGGAATTGGGTCATGTGAGTCATTGTACCAGGTTCGCAGGGCGACAGTCGAAGAACTGGATAATGCTGGAACGGTGACCTGCCTGTCAGCTTGCATTTTGCCACCATTAATTGCGAGACTCAGGGCCTGCGGGCGCGATGTTTTCTTGAAGTGTGTTTATGTGTGTGTGTGTGTGCGTGTGCGCGTGCGTGGTGGGTGTGGGCGTGCGTCCGTGCGTGGGTGTGGGCGTGCGTGGGTGTGCGCGCGCGTGGGCGTGCGCGTGCACGTGGGAGAGGGCGTGGGCGTGCGCATGCGTGTGCGCATGCGTGTGCGCATGCGTGTGCGCATGCAAAGGCGCGTGCGTGCGCGAGCGCGCACATGCGTGGGTGGGTGTGCGTGTGTACATATTTATACGTTCGTGTGTTTGTGTGCTTGCGTGTTTGCTTTAACTTTGCGTTGGTGTGCTTATGTGTTTGTTTGTGTGCTTGTTTGTTTCTTTGCTTGTTTATCTTATTTGTTTGTTACGGTCTGTCTGCCTGTCTGCCTGTCTGTCTGTTATGTGTGTGTGTGTGTGTGCTTGTTTGTTTGTTTGTTTGTTTGTTTGTTTGTTTGGTTGCTCGTCTGTCTGACTGTTCGTTTGCTCGCTTGTTTATTTGTTTGCGCAAATTTTCTCTCCTGCTTGCTTGTTTGTCTGTGTGTGTGCATGCGTACTTGTGCGTCTATGTGTGTGTGTGTTGTGTGTGTGTGTGTGTGGGTGTGTCTGTGTTGTATTGTGTCTGTGTTTGTCCGTGTTTTCGGGGGACGCCATGACTGAGGTTAACATGCAGATCAGTACGGAGGGCATTAACCCTGCAAGCCCGTGCGTAGCGCAAACCATCTAACCCAGCCTGTCCTTGATAATAAGCTCAAGCATCAGCAAGGGATGATTCAATTTCAAATCTCCGGATTGGGTCAGCCACCTATTCAACAAAATATTATATGTATGCTTATTGTTGGCATCAATGTCTTCATTGACTTGTTCCCTACTTTTATTGTTGTGTAATCCGGTTTTGCCCAATTAATTAAGGAGGGAACTGACTGGCCGGAAACCGTGGAAGGATGTAGAAGGTAGCTTCCGCGAGGGAATTCAGTCAACGCAAAAAGTGTGGATGTAAAAGTGCGCGTACTTGCTGGGCCACGGTTCCCAAGTTTGGGGTCGCCCTTCCGCGAAACTCAGCGAAGAATTGCGCATATGCGGAGAATCTGTGCTGTTTTTTCACCCCCGCCCCAAAACAGGATTAACTTGCACTATCAAATGCAATTGGATGTCTCTTGACGACCATAGCGTTCCCTTGTATAGCTCTTTTTGCCTTTTGATGCCCTCATCAAGGCAAACGCGACAGCATCATGAAATTCTGGAAAGAGCAAATCAACCACGTCTCCCCCGCGAGCTTTCGTGGAAAAAGCACCTTCCGCAACATTTCCGCGGCTGCAGTGTAGTGCTACCTTTTTTTGCTGTTATGTCCACCTCTAGACAATATGTGAGCCGGGAAAACAGCACCACTCAACTGAGCTTAATGTGTTAACCCTGCAGATGTGTAAGTGATAGTGCGTGAGTGTATCCCGCAAAACGCTTCCAGCGAAGAATGCGAAGAGAGCCCGCAAACGCTGAGCGGTATGGGAGATGAAATCGTGTCCGGCATGCCTCGATGTCGTAGGCTTTCATATCAGCCTTCCATGGCATCACAGCACCAACTCCAGAGCCGATGGCCACCATGGCCTCACGCGAGCGGGGACTGCCAGCCCAAAGCCAAGGTCCTAGCGCTTCCCCGGGCCTGCGCCGAGGTAAAGTTGTGCTGCCCGTCCCTCACCACGGACACTCGGAAGCGCCTCACACGGAAAAATCCATAACAAGTCCTTATTAAGGGCTTGTGCTAGTCTCATCGGAGCTTGTCGAAGGACGGACACGCCCTAGTCAATCCCCCTCTCCCAAAAAAGAACGAAACAGTAGCGTTGATGTGAAAGGCGCATGGCGACACGAATTTGGTGTGCATGCCTTCTGTCAAAAGTAAATGCTGTATGTTAGAGTCGAAGTTTGTAATGCATTTTTTGGGGGACCCTATGCAACCACCAAATCATGTCATCTGATTGCTCAGTGTGAGAGTGTGTTGAGCTCCAAGGCTCCGACATGCCATAAACAAGATCCACGCAAACCCAAAGCGCACAATTTAAGATGAAGTCCTCGACGTTGTGACACCAGCCTCTAAAACACAATCTCCTCCAAATTCCTGCAAAAACACCTTCAAATCCCACACTGATTCTTCAGCGGGCGTTTTTTGCCCCTGCTGTAGCCATAAAAGCATCCCTCATGGGCTGCTCACCCCACAAAAATACGTGATAAAAGAAATCCAGTTTTTCCCCTTCCCCCTGGGCTGTTCACACCTTTCACCCCCCCAAAAGAGCTTCCGAGGCGCTGCGTGGGGGGGGCTATGAGCTCCTCTGCCTCTGCCAGCTGAGGGTGCAAGGTTTGGGCCCAGCGCTGGAGCTCTGGCAGCGCCATGTCCTACGGCGTTTAAGCCATGGTAGCCATGGCTTCCTGTTGGTGTCCCATTGAAAAATGTTGACATGGGCACCCTTCAAGACAACACACACACACACACACCACACACCACACACCACACACCACACACCACACACCACACACCACACACCACACACCACACACCACACACCACACACCACACACCACACACCACACACCACACACCACACACCACACACCACACACACACACACAGCACACGCACCCAAACAAAACAACAAAAGAAGAGCGCATACAACAACACACCCACAAATAAACACAGAAACAACAACATACAAACACACGGACAAAGATACAAACAAACACACCCACACGCACAGAGAGAGACACAGAGACACAGAGACACAAAAGCACGGAGACACAGAGACACGGAGACACACAGAAACAAACACGCACACACACACACAAACAAACACATGGATATGGATATGGATGCCACTGGACCCGGATGATGCGGATGCAATGGGATCATTTCCTCTCTGGTTTGTCAACCTTGCTGCACTCTCCCATAGGAATGCCCAATGCACCACCTAGACATGGTTGCTTGACGGATTCGGCTAAACGTGGCTGAACCATGTAGGAAACACTTAACGGCCAGCTTTTTCAAGGCTCGACCCTTTAAAGGCAACATGTCTTTGAGAACTGCCAACGTGGGATGCCCTTCCCCAGAAGTCTCTTACCTTCCGCCACTTCTCGCACTGTGAAACAAAAACCGAGTTTGGTCCCAAGACTTTGCTGCTCCCCAAAAGGTTTTGCTGACATGCACATCGACATGCTCCACACAAGGTGGTGGGAATAATTATGTCCAAAATAGCGACTGTTGAACTGCTTGATTCCTGCGTCACTTTAAAGAAAAACAGCCGGTGGCGTGTACTTGCTTTGCACCATCGAACCCTTGCAGGAAGTACCCTGAATGTCCGAAGAACACGCCGTTCTCCTCTGGCCAGGTGCGATTTCTGCGGGGTGACGCAAAAGCAAACAATCTGTCAAAGTCCATCATCCGAAACGCATTGACAGGTGGGCGAATGGCTAATTCCAGCCAGTTCTCGGGAAACTGGGCGGAGGCCACATAGGCGTAGGACTGGATGATGCCGGGCCTAGGGACACTTCGGAGCCCGAGAGCCTCGAAAACTCAAAAACTCAGCAAAACTCAGCCTTGAACTCGATCCCACCCCCGCTTGAGTTTGAGGCTGAATCGGGAGTCTTCCCAGCTTGGGAGCTTTCCTGATTTAGTTTTTCGGATTGAGGCTCGTTTGAGTCTTTTTGAGTTGTTTTTCATTTGTTTTTCTTTTTGTTGTTGATGTTTTTCTGTGTTTTCTTGGAGAAAACTGCAGATTTCCTCCCCAACAAACCCCCTCAGGAAAAACAACTCAGAAACAACTCAGCTCCCAACTCAGCCTCAAACTCAAGTGGGGGGGTCGAGTTGAAGGCTGAGTTGTTTCCGAGTTGTGTTTGAGTTTTTTTTTTTTTTTCTGAGTTGAAGGCTGAGTTTGTTCTGTCTTTTTTGAGTCGTCCCTTGTGTTGCTTTTGTGTTGTCTGTGTGTGTTTTTTGAGTCTGTGTTCTTGAGTTGCTCCTTTGAAACCCCTTTGGAATTTAGGATTCAGACCCTGACACCTCTTGAAAACAAAGCAGCAAAGGCATCGTCTGCAGATTCTGAATTGCGTCAGATTCTGTGGGGTCCCTCTTGGCTGCCAAAACCAACAGCTCCATGCCAATTGCGGTCTACCCACCGTTCTGCCCACCGGTCAAATTACTCACCGGTCTACCCACCCCATCCCCAGAGAGACTTGGACATTTTGTCGGCGCTTTTTGTTCGCGTGCACACACACACACACACACACACACACACACGCACAGTTATCTTCCTACAACGCTGGCAAACTAGTTCTCTTTTGAAGTGGCCTGGAAACAGTTCCAGGGAAAGGCCTGCATGCTCTTGATGAGTCTGGCCAAAGCACAGCATTTCCCATCATAAGAATGCTTCTTGGTTGTCCACCCTTTGTGACTCCCCTTTGTGACTCTTGGTATCCCTCGATGAAACTACAAGTTGCCTTTGCGAGGTGGAAAGGAACCTTCATGTTGTTTCGGATTGTCCGCTTCCGCACGGCCCAAATTTGACTTTCCAGAGGTCCATCCCAGGGGCAAACGAGATCTCGGCGGCCCGTCAAGGCGAACAAGCAGTTCGCCCACCGCTGCATGGCCCTCAATGTCCGAATCTTCTGCAGGTGGCCGCAAATGTTGCCTGGGCAGCAGCTGAAGGTTTTCGTGGAGCTGTCGCACCAGCGATTCCTGATGTCAAAGTGCTCGAGCTTCATCAAACGGACCCGCAAAAAGGACTTTCTGGATGGCCTCTAGGGATTTCTAGATGAACACATCCTATGAGAGTCCATCGGAACGTCGCGACACCAAGCAACGCACGTGCAGAATCTTGCTGGCAAGGGGAAAACGAATGAGATAAACAAACTGCAAGCTGAATGCACCCCCCCCCCCGACAGAGCCCCAAAACCCTTTCTGCAACTGGCCATTGACAAGGTTCGGAGATGTCGCTTGGCACGCTCAGACTCTCAGACAGCTCATGTGAGTAAGGGGGTCCTCAAAAGGAATAGGTTCATCTATGTGATGGACCCGGTCCGGGGCAGCCGCAAAAACCATGTCCAGGACAACATCCAAAATTCCTAAACATATCAAACAGGCTCACACCACACCAAGGTTCTCTCCTTTGGCGCCAATCTAAGCTGCGAACTCAAAAATGTCAGGATAGGTTTTTTGACGAGCCACTCAAATTTAGCTTAGTCACGCAACAGCATTGCTATCCATCCCAAGTTAATGCCGTCTCTGGCCGGTGCTGATGTGACATTTTTTACTGATGGATTTGAATGTTCTGGAGCAAGCGCTAATTATGCCCAGCGAGGGAGAGCTGAACCGTCGAGATCTCTAATATCATATTTGGTTTACCGGCTTGATGTTGACCCCGCATTCATCAACCCCTGTTTATTAATATTGGGGTGTCCCTGGTTTTAGCGGGGATTTCTCTCTTTTGTTTAGCGGGGATTTCTCTCTTTTGGAGGGGAACACCCCCCATATTAACAAACAGAGGTTTGTTCATCCGGGGTCAGCATGACTGTGGTGCATTGCTGAAATATCTCTTGTGGGACAATGAAGTGGGCTTTGTGTACGGTGTCGCCACTTAAACACCCAGACACTTAAATAGGTCAACAAAGATTTTACACTACCTCCGCCAGCGTTACCGCCAGCCCGGCCGACCAACTTAAAAACCCGATTTAGATAGGTATTTTGCGTTACGTCTTGAAAGCCTGCCTCTGGCCCGGCCCGCCTTGTCAATTTGCTTGCTGTTTGTTGCCAATTACATCTTCCACAACCAGTCGGTTGTTCTGGGATTTGTTAAAAAGAAGCTCCCATCCCAAGACGCCACGAGTTTCAAGAATTCAAGGAAATCTGGGAATCCCGTCCGAGACAAGGGCATTCATGTCCTTCTTGCTTTCTGTCTCCACGAGCCATGTAGACAGGGCTTAGGCAGCTCCATTCAGCGCACTTAGCTCCGCAACTCCAGGCGTTTATCAAGCATGGAGCTACGAAAGCGTTGGTCTGCAACCTTAGGTTGGACCTGTGTGGCTTGGCAAAGGCCACCGCGTGTGCTACTGGGCAGGGTTTTGCGAATATGAGATGGTCCTTTTGCAGGGGTCTGAAACAGGTCTAAACCAGGTCTGACACAGGGCCCAATGCCAGATCCAAGCGTTCTCTCTCTCCCTCTCTCTCTCTTGCGTCTCTTTCTTCTCTTCCAATTCTTTTCATTCTGTGGGTGTAAAAGTAAGCTCCTTCTTGCTTTCTTTCTCCACGAGCCACAGCTCAAGTCAGCGCACTTAGCTCCGCAATTCCAGGCGTTTATGTAACATGGACAATGGAATTACGAAAGCGTTGGTCTGCAATTAGAAGCATTAGTGTTGCGCCGACATGGCGCCTTAGGTTCTTGGCAGGAGCTGACGCGTGTGTGCTACGGATTCGGGGCGGGGTTTTGCGAATATGAGATGGTCCTTTTGCAGGGGTCTGAAACAGGTCTGAAACAGGCCTGACACAGGGCCCAATGCCAGATCCAAGCATTATCTCTCTCTTTCTGCCTTGCTTCTCTTTCTTTTCTTCCAATTCTTTTCATTCTGAGATTTGTTTAAGAACAGGTCCCATCCCCAGACGCCAGGAGTTTTAAGAATTCAAGGAAATCTTGGAGTCCCGTCCGAGACAAGGGGCATTCATGTCCTTCTTGCTTTCTCTCTCCACGAGCCACGTAGACAGGGCTTAGGCAGCTCAATTCAGCGCACTTAGCTCCGCAATTCCAGGCTTTTATCAAGCATGGAATTACGAAAGTATTGTTCTGCAATTGCAGGCGTCAGTGTTGCACCATGTCCCAATTTGTGTTTCATGAGCCGCTGCACCGCTATACTGGTGCTGGGGATTCGGGGCAGGGTTTTGCGAATTTGAGATGGTACTTTTGCAGGGGTCTGAAACAGGTCTGAAACAGGTCTGACACAGGGCCCAATGCCAGATCCAGGCATTCTCTCTCTCTCTCTCTCTCTCTCTCTCTCTCTCTCTCTCTTCTTTTCATTCTGAGATTTGTTTAAAAGAAGCTCCCATCCCAAGACGCCACGAGTTGCAAGAATTGAAGGAAATCTGGGAGTCCCGTCCGAGACAAGGGCATTCATGTCCTTCTTGCTTTCTGTCTCCACGAGCCATGTAGACAAGGCTTAGGCAGCTCAATTCAGCGCACTTAGCTCCGCAACTCCAGGCGTTTATCAAGCATGGAGCTACGCAAGCGTAGTACCGACATGGCGCCTTAGGTTGGACCTGTGCAATCTGACCTGGCTTGGCAGGAGCTAGCGCAACGCAGCTGGTAGCAAGGCCTTGAATTGTGTTACGCCCTGTTTTCTTACGGGGAAGGGGTCTGTCTCGGTGTTGCTATTTAAATATCCTAATTGGTATTTCATACTACCTCCAGGGCCCGTGAGGGTGGCCCGGCCAGCCACTTTAAATATCCGACTGAAACAGATGTCTTACACTACCTCCCAGCCCTGAAGCTCAGGCCCGGCCCCCACATATTCAAAAGTCGTCACCGTACCGCTTTCAGGCGTGGCCGCGCGCAATTTTTGTGTGTAACTTCCTTCTCCAATTGCGCTTTGACCACAAGTAGCCTACCTTTGCGGTTAGTCTACTAATGTCAGGATACTATAACACAACATCGTCTGGATTCCTTCCGGGGAACCGTCTTTACATCATTAGTGAGCCACCAAAATCCCGTGCTGAACTGGACAATATCTCTCCTTCAGTTTGCAGGGCTTTTGGTCATGCGTGCCTGTGACACTAACAGGCTCCTCTCACAGGCGAACGCCACTATTGGCAGCTTCTTCTTTGCAAGCCTTGTCTGTGTCCAGCAAATGACTTGTCAACTGGGGTGTTGGAGTCTAAAAGGTCCGGTTGATGGTTGATTCCTATCCATGCCAATTCAAAGAAGCCCATTTTCACAAGACCACATGTTCGTGGAACATTTATTTGTTTAGAACATTAAAGTCGCCTTCGTTTTTGGTTTTGTTTGCCCTATTCCACTCCAATACATATCCCTGACACAACATAGTTTTGGTGGTATGTCCCATGTCAGTGGTTGGGGGGCATGACATTCTCCTTTTTGCAGTTTGGACAATAGCGTGCTGCACAGGGAATGCCACTGCGAACTCACAAAATGCGCACTGGATCCAGGTGAATGCTGAACCCTCACAAGGGGGCATGGCTTCCTTCTGCCCCTAAGCATGGACCGTCTATTGGAGGGACCTGGATCTGCATTGGAAGGGCTTGGACTTCCAAAACGCCCCCTTTTTGAGGCCGCAAGATTGCTCGGGTGCTTGGATGTTCAACCAACTTAGCTGCATCGGCACGTCCTACATACGTTGCTCTGGGAGTCCCAGTTGAAGAGGCGGGCACCTCCGGGAGAATGAACCTGTGCACTACTATGAGCCAAACACACTGGGCAGGGCCAGACCCACCTGCCAATTCGACTTCCAAAACGCATTACATCGCCTGACGTGGGCACAAATGACACTAAGGGAATCGGGCAGGAAGTAAGGTAGTTCCTAGGCGATGAGCACTGAATGCCATGCGGCTGTTGGGGAAAAGAGGCGGGTAAGCATGCGTGTCTGCTCAGAACAGTGATTTAGAAACACTCATGAACACCAAGCCGCATTTCCAACCAAACCCAACATCCTGGGCCATGAGGAGCCAACTCCACGCCGAGTGGCTGCTTCCGGTTCCAGGCCTCTGGTGCACAGCAACCAGTGGCTGGGCGTCAAGCAGAGGCGTCCGCGGTAAAGTGCAAAACCCAGCGAGAGGCGGCCAAGACGCAGGCCGCGTCTCATGGTCCGGGGCCCGGCGGGGCCCGGGGCCCGTGAGTGCCCCAATGTGTTTGTCAGAGAGGTGGGCCCCGAACAGTGAACATCCTGCGGATGCGGGGCTTGAATGGCAACTTGCAGTGAAGAATATGAGATACAATTAGATATTCTCTCATGTAGATCAGGATCTAAACATGTAGATTCTGTATGGTCACTGCTGCGTGGAAGGACCAGAGTGCTGAGCTGGCTGCCAAATGATCTGCGCACGGGGTGCTCAAAAGGCGGAGCTCACCATTAACAAAGGACTGCTTTGGTGTGAGTGGGGTGGGGTGGGGTGGGGTGGGGTGGGGTGGGGTGGGGTAGGGTGGGGTGGGGTGGGGTGGGGTGGGTGGGGGTGGGGGTGAGGTGGGGCTCCAATTTTGAGACATAGCCAAACTGAGAAAACCTCATCAAAAGTGCAATCAAGCAGACATGGGGATTCCAGCGACATAGCTGCAGGCGAGCTGAAGCTTGGGCAGTAGATGTTGATTCGGCATAGGCTTCGTGGGACCGCCAAAAGCATCCCCTCAAACAGCCTACTTTATATGCAGCCTTATGGGTCAGGGCTTTGTTGGGCACCGACCTGTGGGTGGGGTACGGTGGCAAGTAGGACTCTCCCACAAATAATTTCAAGTAGAAGATTTCCCTGTTCGATCTGTCGAGCCTTGTTTGTGACTAAGGACCTACATAAACTCGCAACACCTCAGCTCCCCCTCAGCTCTCACCTCAGCTCCACCTTAACAGTGCCCTGTTTTCCACCTGGCGGGTCAAGCTGCACTCGGCCAAGGGCCTGGCAAGTTGCCAGGTTTCTCTCGAAACCAAACTCACTTCCTGAGTGGATGGGCCAAAACAAGTTCACCACTAAACTGGTTTCCCCAAAACGTCTGGAAAATCCAGGAGCTCAGGAAGCGAGCAAAAGGCACCATGGCACTGGAAATTTTTGGCATTTCCCTGTGACACAGTAACCAACATCATGTCTTTGGCGTGAGCCTGGCCGAGCCCAGAATTCGGGCAAGCGACCTGCCACAACGCAAGAGCCAGGGTGCACAGCGTACCAAGCGAAACACATCAACTGCATGCACACCACCGGCCCTTGCAACCTACAACAGCACCGTCCATGGGCAGCACTGGTGAGACTTGGCTCGGTGCTGGGTGCACCTGGCGGTTGCGGCAACAGATCCGAAGCGACAAAGGCAGCGCCCCGGTGACCATTCGCTGCTTTGCTTCGGTTTGCTCCAGCGCTCGAGATCTTCAACATTGAATCCGCGCGGGCACAAAGCTCGTCTTCAAATGAGGTTCATGCGTCTTCCAAGACATGGCTGCTCAGCGAAGTTCCAGGGAACTCGGATAGATTCCCCCCTGGAAGAATTCGAATAATGCGAGGGACCAATTGGCATATGAGCCAGCGTCTATATTTGCTGTGTGGGGTGTATTCATTCTACTTTTAGTGAGTCCCCTATCGTTCTCCACGTTTCGCGTGTTCGTGCTGTGCCCGATGAACCCTCTGCAGGGATCGCGCGCCTCGAAGCGCTCCCACTGTGGCGCCGTGCGAATTTGCAAAGCGCCCGATAAACCCTCTGCGAGGATTGCGCGTGCCACAGCGCCCTCGCTGTGACGCCGTGCGAATTTTAAAACTGCCCGATGAACCCTCTGCAGGGATCCTGCGCGCCCAAGCGCTCTCGCTGTGGCGCCGTGCAAACTCGTAAAGTGCCCAATGAACCCTCGGCGAGGATTGCGCGTGTCAAAGCGCCCTCGCTGCGACGCCGTGCGAATTTGGAAAGTGCCCGGTGAATCCTCTGCAGTGATCCTGCGCGCCCAAGCGCTCTCGCTGTGGCGCCGTGCAAATTCGTAAAGTGCCCAATGAACCCTCTGCGAGGATTGCGCGTGTCAAAGCGCCCTCGCTGCGACTCCGTGCGAATTTGGAAAGTGCCCGGTGAACCCGCTTCGCGGTGACCACGCGTGCCCAACAAACTTTCTACGCAAACCCCTATAGTATAGCGCCGCGCGAACTCGAAAAGCACCCGACAAACTTTCTACGCAAACACAGCACTGGAACCACACGCGTAGTCTTTTGTAAGCAAATGCACTAGGCCTCACATTTGCAACTCGGGCCAATGCTCGGGGTATCGACGGGGTATCGACCGGGGTATCGTTCTGGGCGTGTGTCGCGTGACGAAAATTTTCACAATTGTCCATAAGCTGTTAGAGCCAAGCAAACACACAATAGCCTTCTCTGCCTTGCGGTAATCATATATTATCAGTCTTGGCGGCTTGCTTGCTGGCAGCAACCTCAAGGTCGCAAGTCGCAACTTTCACCACAAGCGCAGTGCACAAGTTACACTTCGGCAGCTCCAGCTCGAAGGTCGCAGCTTGCGGCGGTCACGTGTCAGTCTAAGCGGCTTTTGCTTGCTGGCAGCAACCTCCAGGTCGCAAGTCGCAGCTTTCAGTACAGGCACGGTACACAAGTTAGACTTCGGCAGCTCCAGCTCGAAGGTCCAGCACAAACCATGTCCAGGGGTATCGTTTTTTGTGAGTCCCCTATCGTTCTCCAAGGAAAATGCAAAAAACCAGTATCGAATGAAACGCCGTTGATAAAGTGGTCTTTGATAATTCTGAGGTTGACTCATATGCAATCTCCGACCACAAAGACTATGATAATCCCACAGCTGATTGCCAAATCCATTGGGCGGAGCACCTTTCAAGCCATGCGGCGAACAAAGCCAACCCGCCCTGCCTCACCACATGGGCATGGCCCATGGCGGCGTAAGTCCAAAGTTCGGGGTGTCCCCCTGGCAAGGAAAATCTGCTTGAGGAACGCCCGCGCAATCTCGGCGATACTTGAGTGCTTTGACAAGTGGCAAGTTCTGCTTGCTGGAAGCCTTCTGACACACTTCGCTGCCTATCTTGCCCCTCTCTAGGTCTGAAGGGAAAAACCACCTTTTTAGTGCTGACCTTAGTGTCGGCGCTGACTATGGTCAAAGGAGCCAACTATCCTACAGGTTCCTGCGCAGGCAGGGGGTCGACTTGCCTAAATTCCTTCTAGAATAAAACAAGCCTAGCGCACGAAGCGCATCATCATCTCTATCTCCTCGGGGCTAGGCGTCCAGTAGTTCCGTTCCGCTTCATCATCTGAGCGGGACTCCTTTCGGCGTGGACTGCGTTCCGGCACAGCCCCCAGCAACCGACATCTCATCTGCAATTGTTTTACTATTCCAAAAGCTGAACGAAGGGATCCCCAAGTAAATGACCTTTATCATGGTGAGCTCGTTCTACCCTGTCGAGGTCAGTCTTGACTCGGTGACCCAAGGACAATCTACACAACGGATCTTCACCGCCCATGTCTCTGACACAGTCAAAACACATACTTGCCGTAAACCCAAGTTCTCAGGTCCCTTCAGGCGAGTGAATCTGCGGTTTTCGGCACCTGCTTTGCGCCGCGGTGAAACGAAACTTCGCTCAGCCTTGGGCTGGCGATGCCTAGACTAAGCCGCCCGAGGCGAGGAGGCTGCAGATGCCACTGGAGTGGGCTCCGGTGGGAAGATACCGTCCAGGGCCAGCTCCTCCATGCAGTTGAAACGCGCACACCCGGCGTAAGCAGGGTACAGAAGCGTGCGTGTGCTTGTGTGTTCTCAGTGATTTTGGCTCCCGATTTAGGTTCATATCTTTGCAACGTGAACAAGACAAATAGGGACATGCCCAAAACATATTTCCGCAGAAGCAACAGTACGTTCTTGAGATTGGCTTTGGGATTTCAACTCTTAACAACATGCCCTGTTGCTTCATTGTACTTGCACTCCATTCAGACTCGTGGCTAAGCTGCTGATAGGCAAGCACATTTCTCACCTTCCTGTGATTGCATCATATGCTCCCAATCAGACCTGTCTTCCATTCTAGTCAGGGACAGCTGCAGCTGCGGTTCCTTCATCCTTTATGCAAGGGAATTGTGTTTGAAAGTTCCACTTCCAATTGTTGGAGGGCTTCGCCTTCAAGGAATTTAGAGGTACCAACTAATATGCCAGGTACCTCTGAACATGACCACCAAACCAACCGTTTGAGCCCCTTTCAGGTTCTAACGCGCGAACCTGAGGGAAGTGGTTGCAGTATTCCTCAATTCCACTCTCAGCATATAAAATGAGCGTGCTGGGTACGTGCGCATCCAGCCAATCATGCCAAGGTCAAATGGACAGATCCTCGTCGTCGCTCTCGTCGGCGAAAAGGGACTGCAGTACCGCTCGACGTTCCTTCTGTTTCTCCACGGAAGCGCGCTCAGCTTCCTGCTGCAGCATAGCTTGCCTCAGTCGCAACTTGCCAACCTACGGGGAGAATCGAGCAAAATGTGGTCATAACAAGATCTCAAGTGTCCAACGCTCAGGAACACTCCACGATTCACTTCACAACAAACGAGCGTGTTGGCGATCTGTGTCGCTAAACTGCTTTGCGCTGCTGCGCTGCTGCGCTGCTCGCTGCTGCGCTGATGACTTTGCGCCGCTCTGCTGTTGCGCTGCTGCGCTGCTTTTCTGCTGCACCGCTGCGCTGTTGCGCCGCTGAAGCCGCCTCCGTTGACGTGCGCCGCTGCGCCGTTGAGCTGCTGCGCCGTTCCGCTGTTGCGCCGTTGCGTCGCTGCACCGCTGCGCCGTTGCGCCGCTGAGCCGCTGCGCCGTCGCGCCGCTGCGCCGTTCGCGGCTGCGCTCTTGCGCTCTTGCGCCGTCGCGCTGCTGCGCCGTTGCGCCGCTGCGCCCTTGCGCCGCTGCGCCCTTGCGCCGCTGCACCGCTGCGCCGTTGCGCCGTTGCGCTGTTGCGCCGCTACGCCGTTGCGCCGTTGCGCCGCTGCGCTGTTGCGCCGTTGCGCGTTTGCACCGCTGCGCTGTTACGCCGTTGCGCGGCTGCGCCGCTGCGCCGTTGCGCCGTTTTGTTGCGCCATTGCGCTGTTACGCTGTCGCGCCTTGGCGCATTTGCGCCATTGCGCTGTTACGCCGTTGCGCTGTTGCGCCGCTGCACTGCTGCGCTCCGCCGTTGCGCTGCCGCGACGTTCTGCTGTTGCACCACTGCGCTGTTGCGCTGCCGCGCCGTTGCGCCGTTCCGATGTTGCGATTATCCTACCATATCCTGCCGTATGCTGTCCAATCCTGTCTTATCCTACCTTCTCCCATCTTCTCCTATCGTATCCTATCTTCTTCCATGTGTCTATCTATCTATCTACATAGCTATCTATCGAGATATCATATCTGTCCTATCTTTCCTGTCTGTCCTTTTTGTCTTGTCGTATCAAGCCTATCTATGTTGTCCATATTACCTATCTGGTCTATCTGTTGTGTCTTATCTGCCTTGTCTATCATATCGATCATATCTATACTACCTACCTTATCTACCTTACCTACCAAATCTTATCTTATTATACATTATCCTGTCTTATCCTGTCTTTCCTATCGTATCCTGTATTGTCCTATCTTATCCTATATTATCCTGTAGTATCCTATCTTGTCCTATATATCCCATGTTGGCCTATCTTGCCGTGTCTTATCCTATCTTAGCCTATCGTATCCTTTGTACAAATCGAATTATCTATCTATAATACATCTATCTATACATCTATGTATCAGTCAATCCTGTCTTGCCCCATCTTATCCTATCTTACCCTATCTTACCCGACCTTATCCTATCTCATCCTACCTTACCCAAAATAATCCTATATTATCCTATCTTACCCCGTCTTCTCCTCTCTTATTCTATCTTATCCCATGTTATCCTGTCTTATCATGTCTTATTCTGCATGTCCCTATCTTAACCTATCTCATCCTATGTGCCTATCTATCAATCTACCAGCCTACCCAGCTATCCTATCTATCCTATCGTTCCTATCTATCTCATCGTATATGTAAGTCTTATCGCTCTTATCTATCATATCATATCTACCTTATCGACATTACCTACCTTGTCTTGTCTTATCATATGTTACCGTGTCTTACCCTATCTTAAGTTATCTTTCCTGCTTTGTCCTATCTTATCCCATCGCAGCCCTCGCATCCTATCTTACCCCATATTATCCTACCTTATCCTGCCTTACCCTATCTTGACATATCTTACCTTATCTTACCCAATCTTTTTCTATGTATCTATCAATCTATCTACCTATCTATCCTGTCTCCCCTGTATGTCCCATCTTTCCTATCTATCTCATCGCATGTAGCTTATGAATCGTTTCTATCCTACCTATCTGATCTATCTTATCTCTTGCCTGCCTGATCTATCTTGTCTATCATGTCTATCCTATTTGTCTTCTCTACCTTGTCTACCTTGCCTACCTTTACATTATCCTGTCTTGGCCTACCTTAACCTATCTTATATTACCGTATGCTATCTTACTCTGCCTTATCCCATCTTGTCCTACCTTACCCCATGTTAGCCTATCTTGCCGTGCCGTATCCTATCTTATCCGACCGTAGCCTATCTTATCCTATGTGTCTATCTGTTTATCTATCATCTATCTATCCTATCTATCTGATTTTCTCCTAACTACCATATCTACCCTATCTTTCCTGCTTGTCCTCTTTATCTCATCGCGTCTATCTTATCTATTTGTCCTGTCTTATCTACCTGATCTACCTTACATGCCTTATCTACCTTGTCTATCATATCTATTACAAATATATATCTATCTACCTTATCTATCCTAGCTGCCTTATCTGATCTTATCACAAATTGTCCTGCCTTGTCTTATCTGAGCCTATCTTATCCTGTATTTTCCAGTCGTATCCTATCTTATCATGTCTGATCCCATCTTATCCTGTCTTACCCCACGTTGGCCTAGCTTACCGTGTCCTATCCTATCTTGCCCTATGTACCTATCGATCTATCTATGTTATCTCTGAGACTGCTGGGGCTCAAAACACAAGTGATTGAAACATATTATTAAAAACAATAACGCACCGAACACCTGCGAAAACCACGAAAACGCGAACACCGCGAAAGCCCCGAAAACCGCCAAAACGCGAAAACCGCGAAAACCACGAAAACCGCGAAAACCGTGAAAACGCGAACACCGCGAAAACGCGAAAACCGCACAAACATCGATTTTCTGGGTTCTTTGGGCTTTCTCGGTCTTCTAGGTTCCCTCTGTTTTCACGGCTTTCTCGGTTTTATCGGTCTTCTCTGTTTTCCAGTTTTCTTGGTTTTCTCGGTTTTCCGGCTTTCTCGCGCAAATCCGGTTAGCTCCGTGTCGCTCAAAACGATTGCTTAGCAAGCTTGGCTGCCATCAGGTTTTCGCCTTCAAGCAAAGGAGGCAACCTACCTTTCTTTAAAGTGAGGTTTGCCCTCATAAACATGACATTTAGGCTGCTCATGCTATCTGAAGTACTCGGGAGTCAGTTAGCGATCGGGAACTCAGCTCTTAAAACGGCCAAACTCGCTCTAGGAGAAACGGCCAATCGAGCGAAGCAACGGAGCAACGGAGCGGGGCAACGCAGCGCAGCAACGGAGCAACAGAGCAACGGAGCAACGGAGCAGAACAGCTTTGCGGAACAGCGGGGGAACGGAGCGGAGCAACGGAGCAACGGAGCAACGGAGCGGAGCAACGGAGCAACGGAGCGAAACAGCTTTGCGCCACCACGGGGGAACGGAGCAGAGCAACGGAGCAACAGAGCGGAGCAACGGAGCGGAGCAACGGAGCAACGGAGCGAAACAGCTTTACGGAACAACGGGGGAACGGAGCGGAGCAACGGAGCAACGGAGCGAAACAGCTTTGCGGAACAACGGGGGAACGGAGCGGAGCAACGGAGCAACGGAGCGAAACAGCTTTGCGCCACCACGGGGGAACGGAGCAACGGAGCAACGGAGCAACAGAGCGGAGCAATGGAGCGGAGCAACGGAGCAACGGAGCGAAACAGCTTTGCGCCACCACGGGGGAACGGAGCGGAGCAACGGAGCAACAGAGCGGAGCAACGGAGCGGAGCAACGGAGCAACGGAGCGAAACAGCTTTGCGGCGCAACGGGGGAACGGAGCGGAGCAACGGAGCAACGGAGCGAAACAGCTTTGCGGAACAACGGGGGAACGGAGCGGAGCAACGGAGCAACGGAGCGAAACAGCTTTGCGGAACAACGGGGGAACGGAGCGGAGCAACGGAGCAACGGAGCGAAACAGCTTTG